AGCATATCTTTGGTTTACAAATACATTTTTACCAAAAATTGGAACTAACAGGCCACAGGTATTATTAGTTGATGGCCATGATTCTCATAATTCAGTTGAGTTATTATCTGTTGCTATTAAAAACAACATTAAAATTGTTGAGATGTCAGCACATTGCTCTCACTGGTTGCAACCATTAGACCGTACTGTAATTGGTCCCATGAAGACTACAATACTTGTTGTCATGATTTAATGAATACTCTGTTACAATCAGTAAGTCTAATTTATGCGGATTATTCGAGAAAGCTTGGGATCAAATCTTAACTGCCGCTAACATTGTTTCTGGCTTTCTACCGTATGGTATATTTCCCTATAATCCTTCTGCAATTCCATATGAGGCCTACTTGCCTAATTCACTTTACTCTGACGAGTTATTAGGGAATAAAAACTTGCTTAAATCAAGTTTTGATTCCTAAAAAAATGATATTATGAATTATCAATCTGGAATATTACTAAACACAACTTTTAAAAAAGAGGATGATCCCAGTTCAAATTGTACTTTTGCAAATAATGTTGATACAACTGAAACTATAGGCATCTTGTCTGGATCAGCAATTTTGAATGTAGATTTATATCAATTGAATAATGACACAGCATTAGTGTTATGGAATAGTTGCTTAACTTCAGAGCATCTACTTTTAACTTCTGTTATCAAAATGGTTTTGATATTTCTGACAATTTGTATTTAGCATACAAAGACTTTCGTATAAACCAAAATGCAATCAGTGATGTTTCTTTTAATCTCTCATAAAGAGAAATTGCTGAAACAATTCCTTTATCTCAAGAAACTGTTATTCACTCTGTCTCTATACCAAGTACTAGTGTTGTTGATTCTTCTAGTCCAATAACAAGTTCATTGAAAAGTACTTTTGACAATGATCATGATGTTCTCTCTTACCCAAATTTTTATGTCGATAAGTCAAAAAACAATAGAAATACTAAACAAAAGTATTTTGTTCTAACTTCTCCTGAAGCTATGCAAGCCAAGTTAAATGATCTAAAAAAGAAAGATAAAAAGGTTGAAGCTTCAAAAATAAAAAAATTGAAGCAACTTGAGATAAAAGAAAATAGATTAAAACTTCAACAGGATAGAGAAATAAAAAAGCAATCAAAACATATTGATTTTTTATTAAGAAGTGAACAGTTAATTTTTTTTTTAATCAAATTTTGTTAATACTTTTTGACGTATTTCTTGAGTTTTGATAGTTGAAATTTCTTTGAATCAATATACAATTTTATAGATTCAGTTTTAAAAATAATTTGTTTTCTTTTTAAGCTATTTTGCCTATATTTGGAGGGGTTACTTATGTCTTAACTAGTTTTTATTGAATATCAATCAATATTTAACTAGTTCATTATTTTAATTTAAAATATATTTTTTTTAATTCGTTTAAATCTTATGAAAATTAAGTTATTTTCATGATATTTTAACATGTGGCAAAGTTAGTGGAATCTAATTTTCCATTAAAAAGCAAACTGGCTCTTATTTAGTCAACCCGGCCATTAATTGGTGTTTATTCAAAATTTATGTTCAAATGAATTGTTTATATTGGTTTTTTTTTTTTTTAATATTTTGGTAACAATTACTCAAAATAAATTGAAAGCATGTCCATTATTAAATATAGCAAGAAAAATTTAAATCTGACAAAATTACTGTCTACAGAGTGCCTTTAAAAAAAGATGTGGCCATTAATTGGTCAGTTTGCCCTAATATACTTTATGATATTGCAACAGTTTTTATTTATTTTAATAATTTCGAATTACGTACTGTTTGTAACCCAAAATTTTTGTCTTTTTTGTTTCTATATTTTGATTTTTTATTTTTTTTAATTCTTTTTTTCGCTTCTTAACATCTTAAAATTGTCTTAAATGTTAAAATGCTGTTGCTTATATAATACGGATATTTAGAAGCGTTACTATAGGTTAGAGTGTTGTAAAGTATTTTAATTACTAGTATTTTAAATACCTATTTTAAATACTTTTGAAGTATTTGTATTTTGTATTTCAAATACTTTTGAAGTATTTGTATTTTGTATTTGTATTTAAAATACAACTTTAGATGTATTTTGTATTTTCAGTGTTTTTTCAAAATACGAAATATATTATAATTTTTTAATTTAAAATTCTTTTAGCTAATAATATATAAAGCAGAGCTGATTTTAGGCCAGGCGAAAAAAGGCAATTGTTTTCACTCAGCGTTTTAAGAGTCATTGCTCAGTTTTACGTGAATAAGATTTTAGCCGATTTTACTGAAACTTTTATTCCCTTAAAGCTGAACAGTTAATTCCAAAAACACTGAGTAATTGCTTAGCTTTACATAATTAAAATTTTGAGCAAAATCGTTAAAAAATTTATTCGTGTAAAGCTGAGCAGTTAATTTAAGAACGAGTAAAAACAACTGTTTTTTTATTCATCAGTTTTATATATATATATAAGCATATTGATAATATATATTTAAAAAATGGAGTCAGAAGATTATAATACAAATATGTACTACAGCAGACATATAGCTGTTTAAAAAGGAGCTATATGGGAGTTACAGCTCACTAGATCACCAAAAACAAGTTGCATACAAGCTAATCAGTCAGCAGTCACTATCGAGTGTTTACAATATCTTGAAGATGGTTTATAAACATCTTTATTAGCCTGTTTGGAACAATATCCAGTTGTTAAGAAACTTTTCAGAGGTATTAATGCAACTGTTCTATCTTCTGCTCCGGTTGAACGCCTATTTTCTAAGGGAGCCTTAATTGGTTTGTCACGAGTGAATTTCATAAGTGCATAAAAACTGGTATGTGCAAACTGGCAAAAGTACGAACTGGCATAAGTGCGAATTGGCATAAGTGCATTAAAAGAAATGGCAAACATTGGCATAAGTGCAAATTTCATAAGTGCAATCTGGCATAACTGCAAATTGGCGTAATGTGTGCCGAACAAAATTGCAAATATTGGCATAATGCTTGCGGCCTTATGCAAATGTTTGCAATTTCTTTTGGCTCACTTATGCTAGTTTGCTCTTATGCCAATTCCTACTTATGTCAGTTTTTACAACTGCTTTACATTTATGCCAGTTCACATTTATGCTAATTCACACTTACGCTAATGTTTCTCAATTCTTTTAGAGCACTTTTGCCAGTTTGCAACTTTTGCCAATTTTTGCAACTGATTTGTAATGACATATTCGACATGTATGACAGTTTGAAATATATGACAGCTAATAATGACATGTTTGACATGTATGACACTTAAGCCAATTCGCACTTATACCAATGTTTGAAAATTCTTTTGGTGCACTTATGTCAATTTGTACTTACGCCAGTTTGTACTTATACCAGTTTTTGCAACTGCTTCGCACTTATGCCAGTTCGTACTTACAAAATTCGCACTTATTTAGTCACCCTATTTCGCACTTATTTAGTCACTTATTTAGTCAGTTAAACAGTATTTGAACGATTTAAAGCAAATGATACTAAAAAAAAAATGTATTTCCGAAAAAAAGCATAAAAAGAAAACCTTTTCCGTAAACTGCCAAATATAATAATAAAAAAAATAAAAAGCCTTACTCTATAAAATTTTGCGTTGAGTAGTGTTTATCTTATAAAATAAACATTGATTTTTTGTCAAAAATATTTTTAAATAAAAATTACGAAACCCTTTACAATATATAATAATATAATATTATATTAATATAATGTTATAATAATATAAATATTTGTTTTTGAATCAGTATAAATTTGGGAAAGAAACCTGGAGTGATTTTTTTAAAATTTGAACATAATTCAAAGTATGTTCAAAACATTCAGTAGAAATTTTCATTTTAAATAAAAGAGGCTTGGCATGAGTAAAATTGATAAGAGCAGCAACATGCTTCTATTGACGATAAAGATTCTAAATTTTAGATTTATTGAAAAAAAAACCATAGAATGTTCGCAATTTTTAAATAGCTATGGATAAATGATAAATATAATTGAGTTAGACTACGTTTGTGTAGCAGATTTTACAAAAAGTTAAAAAAAAAACTGTCATAGACAATGTTTTGATTTAAAAGCTCTTTAAATAAATTTAAGTTTGTTACAAAACACGTTTTTTTTTTTATTGTTACTTCTCCATGCATATTCGATTTGTGGTCAGCGTTTATGTTGAAAAAAATATTGTAAAAGGTTTCTTAATTTTTAGTTAAAAGTATTTTATAGGTAAGCATAGCTAAGCTTTCCCATAAAATATTTAGGACAAAAAATATTTATACTTATATAAAAAATACAACGACATTATCTATCAAGAATACGTATTGCAGTTAAAATAACTAAATTGTACTCTTTTAAAGGCAAAGTTTCCCTCCTGCATCCATTTTATGAGCTATGAATTTATTTTATGAATTCATCCATTTAGGTATGTAGCAGGTATGTTGCAAAAAACAATATAACTAGCTTTTGAAGTTTAAAGTTAAACTTGGAAACCATTTTTCAAAACTAATTTTTTTTTGCAAAGTTTCCCTCCTGCATCCATTTCATAAGCTATGCATTTAATTTATAAATTCATCCATTTAGATATGTAGCAAAAAACAATAATACTAGCCTTAGAAGCTGTTGAAGTTTAAAGTTAAACTTGGAAACCATTTTTCAAAACTAATTTTGAAAAATTAAGAATTTCATTTTGTGGAACTTTTCTTTTAAAAAAATCATTTTACAACATTTTGATTTTTTTCTTGAATGGAGCTATATCTCTTTTAAGAAAAAGCCTAAAGAAATTATTTTGTCTCTTGATGATATATTTTTATATTTTTAAACGCTTAATAATTTGCGATATTTTTTTGAGGGTTTGTTATTTACGAGCGATTCTCATTACAAGTATCCGCGTCTTTTTTTTTTTTTTTTTTTTTATACTTGTATACTTATTTTATATTTTAATTATTTCTTGTTGTGTAACTAATTTTTATTTCAACTATTTTATTGTAAAACGGTTTTCTGATGGGCATATTAAAAAAAAATAACCGTGTTTCCTGCCTCAACGTAAAATTCATTACGTCATAACAACAAAGCTTATTGATTTTTAAATAAAAACTGCATAGGTGTGCCGAATGTCAAAAGTAGTAACAAACAAAATAAACTTGTAATAAAAATTAAGTTTAAATTACAAAATCTACAATGGCTGCTAATATTTTAAGATTAAAACCCTTAGAATTTGCTCATATATTAGATTTGGTAAGTTTATTATTCTTACTTTTTTTTATTTAATTTAATTTTATTTTTAAATAGCATGTTTGTTTTTTTAAGAAAGATAATTTTATGTTCTGCTATGAAAAATACCAGACCAGATCAATTATTGCTTTTCAAAAAGAAAATTCAGATTACAAAAATTTGTCATAATCTAGAGTTTTTTATATAAATTTTTAACCTTTCATCAAAGAAATTTTCATTTTAAAAATACTCTTTAAGTTACAAAACAATTTAGGACACAAAAAATAATTTATGGTACAAAATGCTTAACATGACCTTGACATTTTTCTAAATCAAGCTATATAATTTCTAGGACTTTTTTTGTCTCATTGTTCTTAGTTACAAAATAAAAGTTATTTTGTAATTTATTCTTATTGTACTGGTTTAAATTTAGTTGTAGTACTACATCTAAATTTAGTTTAATTTAGTTGAGGTAATAGTGTAATGGTAGAGCACTTGCTTCATAAATAAGAAGTTCCGAATTTAGTCTCTACCATGTCCCTGGCAGTGCTTGTTTCTTTGCACAGTGGCTTTGTTTGTCCAAGGTTTGTATTTCGGATTTAAAGAATTGAAAAAGAATTGTAACCACAATGAAGAAGCCTCCTCAACTGTAATGGTCTTTAGACACTAGATAATTGGTATTTTGTAAATCTATACCCAGAAGAATGGTCTCATCAAAGTCAATACCAATATGGATGGTCTCTTATCCTATGATATGGCCTATATATATGTTGATACCATCAGTATCCGTTTGATACCACACAATACCAATAATAAAAAAATGATATGATATAAGAAAAAAAGAAAAATTAAAATGTGGCTTTTTGAATTTTTTTTTATCAACAAAATACAAATAAGATTGGTTTTTAGCGGTTTAGTTTATGTTTATTTTTAACCATTCTGAAAAGTTACCACAACAATTGTACTGCAACACCAAATCCGCAAACTTTATCACGATACTCATTGCCAAATTAGCTTGTAATAATAAACCTATATTTGTTTTTTCTTACTGTCCTTATGAATATCTTTACTCAATATATATACACTTGCAAATTCCCCCAAGGGTATAATAAACATTATAAACATTATATACAATATAATATACGATGCGCCCACAACATTCCTTCTGACACAACGCAATAATAGTTTATATATAATGCAATTATTTACACTAATTATAATCACTATTATAAGAATATTAATTTCCTACAAATAATTATATTATCCATTTTAAAAAAAAAAAAGGAAAGTAGAAAATAATGAAAATTTATAATTTATTTTATTAAATTTGAGTTAATTTTATTAATATTCATAGTTTTAGTAATTTATTTGATGAAATTTAATTAAAATTCTTTTAAAAATTTAAAAACGTTCGTTTTACAATTTTTTTACTGATAAAATTTCCAAAATTTATGTTAAAGTAAAAAAAAATTAATAAATTTAATTCAAGTAACTTTAAAATGTTCGCATTACATATAACTTCATTTTAATTTCAGTTAAGTTTCAGGTAAGTTTGAGTTCCAAATACTGGTCTAAATATTGCGCTTTTGTAGTTAATAAATAACGTCATACAAAAAAATTCTTTCAAACTCGAGTTTAAATGTTGTTTGGGTTTTTCCTTTGCCGTTAAATTTTATGCAGTAGAATTTTTTTTATAAAACGAACCAAACTTTAAACCATTTAAAATAATGCAATCAATAAATAAACTCTTTAAAAGCCCAACTTATTTTTATTTTGTTTTAAAAACTAAACTAATACTTGTGCTATAGATATAAGATACGTAAATTTTAAAATTATATTGATAATTGTTAAAAACAAGTTCTGCTAATAACATCTTATAACTGAAAATACTATTTTTCTTTTTAGATTTAATAAGAAATAGTAAAAATACTTTAGGTTTCACGGTGCATAAAAATAAAATATTTTAATGGGAATAAAAAAAAAACAAAGCCGAAAAGGGGTAAACTTCGTTTATTTACCATTTTTAATTTAATCAAAAGCCAGTAAACGCAAAGGTTTTATAAAAAGGGGAAAACCCAATCTAAGTGTGTAGAAGTACGCTTTAATCCCTTTAAGAAAATCAACCATAAACAAGTGTCCACTCATTTAAAAAAAATAACTGTAAAAAGAATGTTTTAAAGAAAAAAAAATTAAGTTTAAAACTGAAACTGTAAATAAGTATAAGATTTTAAAACAAGGAAATTATTTTTTAATCAACATTTAAATTTAATTTAATATCTTTTTTTTTATAACAATATTGTTTAATTTAAAAATATTTTATTTAAAAGACTTACAATAATTTCCAATGTGTTATTGAATTGAATTACAATAAGGTATTTTAAAATACGCAACTGATGCAATTAAACTTTTAACGATGTAAATATCTTTTTTTAATAAAGTTACATTAATTCAGGTTGCGCTGTTCTGTTACGCACCAAAATTTCATAACAAGGCCTGAGTAGAAACAAAGGTTCATAAAAAGTTTTCGTCGCAGATGTTTATGAAAAGTTCTATTCAATATTAAGAAAAGTTCTATTCAATATTAGTTCAAAACTAGAAAATTGGATTTTCTAGTTTTGAACTTGATTGTTAACAAAAAGTTCTTTAAAGGAATCCCCAACTGCCGAGACAAGTTTTGTTCATATTAAAGAAAATGTTTTAAAAAAACATTTGGGCTGAGTTTTTTTTATTAAAACTTTATAATGAATGCACACCATTAAATTTAAAATTCATGTTTTAGTCGAAGCTCGCCGTCTTCATTTTTTTTTGGTTCTCGGAGTCTGTATAATGTTAGCCCTAATCTGCAGGCTTGATAATTTATTCCATGCGTGTTAATTCATAATAGTTTCGGTATATGACGTCATCATATAAATTTTTTTTTTCAAAATGTCGTTTTTTGCCATAATAACCAAATCATGTTAATTGTATTACTTTTTACTAAATCCGAAAAAAGGTTTATGATACAATTAAAAATTAAATTCATAAAAATAAAAATTTAATATATAACGAATATTTATAGTAAAAACGTACTGGTTTTTAACTAAATATAAACTAGGTACTAAAAGAATAATTTTTTTAAAGCGTATAAATTAATTTAAACTGTAAACTGAAAAAAAATTGAGCGAATTGAATAAAACATAAACTGAACTAAGTAGAAAATTAATATTAAACAACTTATTTTACAAATAACCGTTCAAATCAAACTAAATTAAAGTTAAAACAAATATTTGTACTAAAATATACAAGAAATAGTTATAATATAAATATAAAAACAAAGAATCGCATTAAATTGTTCGCTACCAGCCGAACAAAAATCTTTAAACAAAAATCTTTTTGTAGCAACAGCACATATTATTTTTAAATAACGTTTGAATAGCATAATGTTGACAATTAATTGAAATTCGATAATAATAAAGTTTTTAACACGCTTCATTAAACAATAAGAAATGCAAAATGCTTAAAACTATCGTTTTTGTAAGTAATAACTAAAACATCATAATAAAACATCAATAAGTCCAAAACAAACCTCATTTAATAAATAAAAATAATATTTTTTCTTCAAAATACTTTGGTAATTACTTAACTAAATACTTAACACTTCTACAAGTTGATTTTACAGTGTTAACGCTGTTTTATTTTATAACTAAATTTAAAGTTTTTTTTATAAAGGATTATTCAAGATTTTTTAACTTTGTGATATTTTTTTTATAATTACACAATTATAGTTCTTATTTTTTCTTGATTACGTAGAGAATTAATTAAACCTTCAGAACAAACAAATTCTATGAGTCTAGAATAGAAATTTATGTACTAAATTGTAAAGTATACTCGATAGCCACTACCAGTAGCTTGCGGTAGTGGAAGAGTTAAACCATAACTAAATGTAAATTAAACATTAAACAAACAACTCTATTGAACCATATAATCTAAATATAAAACGAAAAACCGCATCATATTGCCTTTGTTTTTTCTCTGCCTGCGAACTCTAATAATCACAAAACATGTATAATTGTGTCATGATTTTGGCTAGCTTCTACAACATAAATAAATAATAAACATAAAACAATAATAAAACAAGTAAAAAAAATTATAAAGATAAATATATATATATATATATATATATATATATATATTTTTCTTTATAATTTTTTTTACTTTACAATCAGAAAATCAAATATTTGTATAATTTTTTACTAAATTACAAAAAATATTTTGATTTAGTAAAAAATTATATATATATATATATATATATATATATATATATATATATATATATATATATATATATATATATATATATTTATATTTATATTTATATATATATATATATATATATATATATATATATATATATATATATATATATATATATATATATATATATATATATATATATATATATATATATATATATATATATATATATATATATATATGATTCCTTATATGATATAGATATGGAACCTTTAGCTATTCCAATACAATACTCATAAAGTTTACGTTGTCTGTACTCAGATCGCAAACAATGTCAGGATTGACATAAAACTCTATCTTGGAATCTATAGGAATAAACTGAATCAAAGTTTGTTCATGCATGAATATATTAGATGCTTGTATACCAAAAGAGCTTTTATATTTTTTAGGGTCATTAGTTTGTCCATCTATTTCAGATATAACCCGATGAAGAGGTAGCTCAACTTGGTGAAGCAAACATCCAACTAAATGAATGTTACGATTCAAAAGCTTTTCTAATTTGACAACTAAACTATTATCTACGCCAGTGTTAGAACTTGTATTGTCAAGAACAATCGCTTTTATGCTTTCAACACTATCTTATTCAGAAAGCACATTTAATGTTGCTAAAGCCATAGTACTACCTTTACCATTTTCTATTATCACATGTGTTGGATAATTTCCAGAGAAATGATCAAGTAAAAGTGAGGTGATTTTCATCATTGGTGGTTCGATTAAAAAAAGGGTCCTATTTTACTCTTGTATTTCATCACATGAACTAATGAATTTCTGTCTTTCTTGCTATCAACACCGATTTGCTTTATTTCTAAAACCTCTTGACGATGCTTAGTGTTAATTGATTTAGTATCTTTCAGGATATTAGTACATTTTTCACGCACAGGAATTATAATACATTTTATGAATTCAATTTGGCGTCCACTAGCGCCATTTTTGTTACATTTCATCATTTTAACATCATTGATCTTGTAGCTCTTTACCTAAGCAGTTATTGTATATAATATATAGTTATTGCATATAATATATAGTTATTGTATATAATATATAGTTATTGTATATAATATATTATGCTTATTGATTTAAAGCTAAATTTACAATAGATTAGTTGGAAACTAAGTTAAAAACATGTTACACAAATTATTGTTATTTATTATTATTGCTAATTATTATGTTGTTAAACTCAATACTTTATTTAAAATAGTAAACATATCCATACTTACAATAACTTCAAAGTTTTTGCGTGGTATAGTTGGTTGAAGGGCCATTTTATATGCACAGTTTACGAGTCATTTCATATGCACAGTTTTTTAGTCATTACATATACACAGTTTACGAGTCATTTCATATGCACAGTTTACGAATCATTTCATATGCACAGTTTATGAATCATTTCATATGCACAGTCTGTGTCACAACAGTTTAGTCCATTACTCAAGACAACAGTGTTACTAAAACAACATACATTTTTTAAAATTTGTTTACATCACTTGCAGAAATTAATGAATCAGCGAACTTAGCTTTAGAAGAAATTTCAAGCCTTTGTACATTAATTTAATTTTTAGTTTAAAATAAATTTATAGTTAAATTAAGATTGCTATACATTGTTACCATAGTTATATGTATATATTTTTTTAAACTCTTTTTTTCTTTCTTCTAAGTACTATGAAATTTTAAAAGTTTTAGAAGGTGCACACAATTAATTTCTGCACCTCTGCCATCTAGATAAAAATATATTTTTGATCATTTTGAAATTGTCAACATCTAATTATTTTTTATCATTATTTAGTTTATCTTCAATATATTTTATTTATATATACCAGTACCAGTATAGTGCTTTAATATTTGTAAATATATTGTATGTTAATTTATTCTTAAAATGAATGATATAAAAAAGTAATTATGTATTAGGTTATTCTTATTCATAAAAAAATAGTTTATATTGATATATTATACAAAAATATATAATATATTATTAGAAATTGCTTTTATAATATATTCAAAATTATATTATAGTAATATGAAATACAATATTGGTTTGAATGTAGATTTTTTTGATTGAATAATTTCAGAATTCCAACATTACATATGTTGAGATAGGTCCATCATCACTTATTTTACAAGAAAATCAAGTTGTTGTTTTTGGCCCGGCCTCCTTTGTTGTTATTCCTCCTGGCCATTATTGTGTAGTTGTAAATCCAGTGAAGTAAGTTATTTAATTAATGTTTCCAATTACCAAATATTATTAAGTAACCTTAATTTAGTAATGTTACTAAATTAAAGTTACTTTTTTTTTGTGTTGAATTTAGTTTAAAAAGTAAACTAAAAAAAGAAACAAATTTATTTTATGAATCTCAGTTATTTTATTTTTAAAAATGTATTTAGGTCTTCTCTAATATTTTTTGATTTTTAAGTAGGTAGTATCCTAAGTTCTAAATTACTCATATGGTATCATGAATATTTGGTACATATCAGGCTTTCACAGGAAGACATGCGATTTCATGTCTTTATATGACCACGCAAAAAAAAAATGTTTTAACGATTTGACCACAGCATATTTTTTAAATTTTTTTTTTTTTTTTTTTTTTTTTTAACATCTTCACTTCCAACAAGGCTGCAAGCAACCACTATAAGAGTTGGAAGTTACTGGAAGAGAAGAGACTAAATCTGTAGAGCAAGATAACGATTGACTGATGACTTAAAAGATTGCAAATTATATGAATCAGGAAAGCAAGATGAAGGAAGCGAATTCCAAAGAACTGATGTTCGAGGAAAAAAACTAGAAGAATAAGAGTTTTTGAAGCACTTAGGAACAGTCACAGAAAAAGGATGAGACTTAATTGAATGGCGAGTAACACGAGAGTGAATTTTAGTAGATGGCACAAGGGACGCTAGCTCTTTAGAGCAGTGCCCATTATAGTATTTGTAGAAAAGAGAAAGAGAAGCAACATTACGACGATGTGACAAAGGTTGGAGATTGGCTGCAAGAGCAGGTCCAACTATGTTTACAATTCGTTTTTGCACCTTGTCTAAAAGAGAAAGAGCATCATTAGAAGATCCGCCCCAGATGTGGCAACAGTATTCCATACAGGGACGGATTTGAGATTTATAGAGATAGAGAATAGAATCTGGAGTAAGAAAGTGTCGAGCTCGATAAAGAGATGCAACCTTAGCAGATGCTAATTTTGCAATGGATTTGATATACGGTTTAAAAGAAAGATCAGAAGTAAGAGTTAATCCTAGAAGATGAATGGTAGATGACTCATCTAGTACATTACCATTCATAAATATAGGAAGATCTAAATTATTACGATAACGATTGGCCGAATAAAATTGAGTTTTATCTGAATTAAAGTTCACCAGCCACTGTGAGCCCCATGCTGTAGCAGAAGTGAGATCCTTTTCAAGCTCAGATACCCCCTCCAAGCAATCAGAGAGTGTAGGCTTCTTATCATGACAAGAGTAAATGGTAGTGTCGTCAGCGAATAATGCCACCTTAGATGTGAGAATATCTGGAAGATCGTTAATGTAAATTAAAAAGAGTATAGGGCCAAGGATTGAACCTTGAGGAACCCCTGAAGTTACAGGATGTGAAGAAGAGTGTTGTCCATCGAGGACAACTTTTATACTACGATTGGAAAGAAAGGACTCAATAATCTTAAAGACGTTACCAGCTACACCATAAGAAGAAAGCTTATGGAGAAGACCAGCATGCCAAACTTTATCAAAAGCTTTAGAAATGTCAAGTGCGATAGCCTTAACCTCTCCACCTCTATCTAATGCATGGTAAAACCTATCGGTTATTACTGTTAGCACATCAGCTGTAGAACAAGAAGACCGAAATCCATATTGATGATCAGAAAGTAAGTTATTTGATTCAAGATGAGAGATTAAGTGTTTGTTGATTAAAGATTCAAAAACCTTGCTTATGACAGGAAGAAGACTAATGGGACGGTAGTTAGATGAATCAGATCGCTCTCCGGAATTTTTGAAAATAGGGATAACAGATGCTGCTTTCCAGCATGATGGAAAACAAGACTCTGATAAGCACTTGTTAAATAGTTTAGAAAGTATGGAGGAAAGCTCCGGAGAACACCTCTGCAAAACTACAACAGGAATGTTGTCAGGACCACAAGCTGTTGAAGAGTCTAAGCAGGAAATTACTTTAGATACAGAAGCTGAAGTGATGCGAATGTCAAGCAAGGGATCAACCTGTTTGACGGCTATGTCAGGTAAAACGCAACTAGTGGAATCAAGAGATGATATTGATGAAAAGTTCTTAGCAAACAATTCAGCTTTGTCTTTAGGTGAGGTGACAAAGTCTGAACCATACAAGAGAGAAGGAATAACAGATTTGCCCTTATTATTGATACTGTTAAAGATTCTCCAGAAGTCTCGAGAGCCTAATTTTTGTGATGAGATACGAGATTTAATGACCTGGGAATAGCGAGCTTTGGCGTCAGACAAAACCTTTTTACAATGGTTTCTGGCGATAGTGAACAGATGTCTGTTTTCTGGAGAATTGTTTTGCTGATAGATATGGAAATAACGGTTTCGATTAGAAATTGCTGCAGCGCAATGTGAGGAAAACCAAGGAGAAAAGTGAGGTTTGACCTGGAATCGTCGAGAGGGAATAAAAGATTCCATGCCAGCCTGAATCCACGAAGTTATGTAAGAAGCACATTTGTCAGCAGGAAGACGAAAGATTTCTACCCAAGGGCCATCACGAAGAAAATCACGGAAAGAGTCCCAGTCAGCTTTAAGGTAGTTGTATGTGGTACGATGATAGGGGGATTCTGATGAAGTAGAAGAATTTGATAATAGTTTTAGAGAGATCAAACCGTGATCAGAAGTACCTAAGGGTGAATGTGGAGAAATTGAGCACTGACTAGGATCCAAAACAAGACATAAGTCGAGTAGAGAAGGTAAATGATTAGGGTTGTCTGAAAAACGAGTTGGAAAGTTGACTATTTGAGTTAGAGATTGAGAAAGGCAAAAGTTGAGGGTCTTAATGCCAGCAGAGTCACTGACACTAGAGCCAAGCCAATCGGTGTGATGGGCATTAAAGTCACCAACAACGACGATATTGGCCGATGGATAAAGAGAGAGGGCTTGGTCAATTTGATCAGAAATAACATCAAGAATAGTGCAGTCTTGGGATGAAGGAGAGCGATATAGAACAAAGAGAAAGGCGATAGAGTGAAGTTGTGCTAAACGAAAGCACATAAATGAATAGTCTGTAGATTCAAACCTAGTTTCACGACAAATGGGTGAGTTCTTACGAATAGATGCCCAGATGTAGATGCCCAGGCCAAGCATGTGATTATTGGAGTCTTTACGAATTAAAGGAAGATAACCATCAACACTAAGATCACAAGATGGGACAGCCAAACTCAAATTAGTCTCACAAAGAGCAAGTAGGTCTGGTGAACTTTGCAAGAGATAAGACTCAACAGAAGAAAAGTTACTTCGAAGACCACGAATATTAGTAAATGATAGGTTTAGAGAACTTGGTGATGACAATGGTTTTTTGTGTTTTTTAGTTTTAGGTACTTTAGTCATTTTAAATTTATAAAGAACTTGACTCAAGTGTAGATAGTACTCAGTACACTATTTAACAACTAAGCAATAGCCTCATTACTATTAATAAACCCTAAGCCGTAACAAAGGGCTCCAAATGTGGCCTCTGCAATGCACACCAAAAGTACAAACAGGGACACCATCCATGTGCAACATGGCACTGTTAGTACTCTGATATTTTTCGGCTGTTGATGGAATCAGCCTCTCTGAGAGCTACCACAGAGTTCGGGAAACCTGACTACCAGCCGGCCTCAGAACCATAAAACTGAGTTTTAGAGCTGTACCCTCATTAGGAGATAATAGAATGAGTTGCCCAGTCATAAAAATAGAGACACAAGCAATACCCACGCATTGAGTCAAGAAGATCCAGCGTTCAACATCCTAAACTGGAAACAATGTATTAAAAATACATCTGCGCCAGCCTAATAGATGAGGAAGGGGTGCGAGGCTGGTCAACAGATAGAATCTGTTTACCCCTTAAGTCTTTGCCTAGGAGGCCTTCTACAAGACTGCAGCTGGATGCATGTAACATCTGCCCAAGATGAGTATTTTTATCGAGACACCATCTCTAGCCTTTACTCAACCAAGAGCCCCAAGGCAGGGGGTGTTTTAATTCGGAGTTAACTTCTCCTAGCCTTTGCCTAAAAAAGCGTATCCTACAAGGCAGCAGGACATGGAGCAGGTTGTACTGGGTTACATGTTACCAGTAGCAGGAAAACCTGACCTGACCTAATTTAAAAACGTGCTACAAAAACTTACCTAAACTTATCTGAAAAAAAAATTTAAAAAAATAATAAATATTAACGAAAGAGAAAATAAAAAAAAATACTTAGTTAAAGCAAAACACAAAAAAATAAATATGTATATATATATATATATATATATATATATATATATATATATATATATATATATATATATATATATATATATATATATATATATATATATATATATATATATATATATAACGCAACTAAAACAAAACTCATCAAACTAAAATGCTTAGTCTATTTAATTTACTCATTAAAAAACCTTTTCAATATTTGTTTCAACATTTTTATATATTTTTTATTTGTTTAATATGTTCAAAAGTTAAATATTTCTCATAAAAAATACATAGTTATATAAATAAAATTAAAAAACATTTCATAAATACTTTTTTTAAAATTAATTAGAAGTGTTGTTTTTTTTACTTCATTAAAAGCGTTTCGATAATATAAAAGCATTTAAGAACAAACTTATTCAATTGTAACGGTTTTTTAAACCTTTTTTTTTTTAACGAAATTTTGTTTATCTTTTGAAATGCATTAACTTTAATCATTCTTATATTTAAATTCGTTAAAGAGACTTTCGTAGTCGTAGAATGTCATTGTTTATAAAAACAAAACAGTTTTTAATTTTTTTATAAGATTTATTTTAAAAATGAACACTTAAACAATTTATGTTTTAAATTAAAAAAATATGTTCAACTGTCAATTATTTTTAAAAAACAAAACTTTTTTTCAGTAAATTGTTACTTTATTTAAAATCGTTTCGCTAATATAAAAACATTTGTTAAGAAGTTTTGATGTAATTAATTTCACTTTTTTAGAATATTTTTTATTTAGCGCGTTTCTAAAATGTTTTTTGAATTAGCCGCGATCAAACTGTCATAGCAAAATGTAACTTGTGTGGTCATATAAAGACATGAAATCGCACATCTTCCTGTAAAAGCCTGCATATATATTTTTTGACCTTTTTCTTTACATAATTACTTTTCCAAGGTTCAAAAGAATACTAACGTTTAGGAGACATTTTTATTTTTTATATAAATTACAAACATCTTACAACCCTAAAGTTCAGAAACAAGGCAGCAAGTTAAATGTGGCTATGCCAGGGATGTAGTGGGTTTTAACTCTGTACCTCTTGCTTATGAAGGAAGGGTTATGTCACATTACCAGTGTAATGCCAAAAATTTTTAAATAATTTATATGTGTTAATAAATTTATACATCATTAAATTGATGACTTTAAAAAGCATCAAATCAAAAATTAGGTAAATGAACATAGTTTCCCATATCTACTAGTTTATGCAAGTCTAGTTATCACTCCACTCACAAAAAGGTTCAAGGTTTAAATTCATCTATGCAATTATTGTGCTCAACCTGTTTTTTTACATAACTGCTTTGTTTAATAAGGTTTTGGACCTTAAGAGTTTCAAATCAAATTTAAAGAAATATATAATTTGTCTCCTCAACTGTAGTAACCCCCTCAAGCTTTGAAGTGGTGAATAAGCAAAAAAGAAATCTCAATGTTTTGAAATAGTTATAGCTGTGTAAAAATTAAATGTTTAAATTTTTATACTGTCATCATACTGTGTATTGCAGGCCTAGTTTTAAAGTAAAAAATGGTTAATGCCTTTGCCTCATGTGAATTTGATGTCATAAAATTCTCTTTATTTTTTAAAAACTTTAATTTTTTTTAAATTTCCGCAAAACAAGTTAATTATTATTTAACTCGTTTTTTATTATTACTATTAGGGAATGTTTATTTTCTTTCAATTTTTTATTTATATTAAATAATTAAATTTAATATTACATTTTTAAAAATGTTTGATATAAACAAATTTCTTTTTTTTCTCAACATTTGTATAAATGAATACTAATATGTTAAATTTTTTAAAATGATTATTTCTTAAATTTCTAATTGCGGCTTTGCAACTAAAAATGATTTTTTATTTTAAAAAAATTAGAGAGTAACAAATACAAAAATTACGTTAATTTATTTACTTTATTTATTAAAAGTTTATTATTCTATTAGCAATTATGTTGTGAAAGCGAAAATTATTTTTCCAAACACCATTTATTAAAACTAAACTGCCTAATGTCATTTTTTATTATCAAATAGAAATTTAAGTAAACTATTTTTATTGCAATCAAAAATTGTATAAATATTTTGTACTTGCAAGATGATAAATAAAAGTTTTTATTTTATATATTTTTTTTATGGTTTTTTTCAAGGTTTAGTTTAACAACTTTGTATACAAAAAAAAAATATTGTTGTCAACTATAAACAATTTTGTTTTCTGCTCCTAAATATTTTGATAAAATATAATTAGCTTAATAGAGATAAAGTTTTTATTAGTAAATAGCGTTTATATCTAAGTTAATTTTCACTCAAACTTTTGTAACAAACTTTTTCACATATTCATCAATCAAGTGGTTTTTGTAAAACTAATTACTTCTTTTATTTTACCGCTTATAGAATAATATAAATGTTAAAAAACAATAAAAAGTTGCTTAACGGAAATCGCTCAAGGTGTACGTTATTTTGCTTAACGCGTACGTAAATTGCCGGCAGCTTAACACTTTAAAACAAGGCTTGGTATGAAATTTTTTTATTATTATTAGCAAAATACTCATTGACAAATGTAATATACATTATTTGTTCACATTTGTTTCTGCTAACTTTTATTTCCTAAACAGTAAATTGAAGTTAATTTTATGCTTAATGTTTACTTGGTTCTTGAAACTAACTTTAAATTCATGCCTAATGTTATCTTTAGGCTTGAAGTTAACTTTAATATTGTAAGTAAACTTTAGGTTTGAAGTTAAATTTATGTTGGAAGTAAACTTTAGGTTTGAAGTTAAATGTATGCTTGAAGTTATTTATCAATAGTTTTGATTTTATTATATTTTTCATTAAAAGAGTAAACTTTATTTTACTTTTAACTTTCATTTGTAGACATCCTGTTATCTATGGAAAACAAGCAGAATTAAAATTTGCACAGGAAGAGGTTCGATTACACCAGGTGAAAAAAAAAAAAGATATCTTTCATACATAAAATAGTCATTATATTTTTGTTTCAATAATTTTTTTCAAGTATATAATTGTGGTTTTTCAATATTTTTACACAAAGTAACTTTAATTATTTAAGTTATCTCTAAAGACTACTATTTAAAAGTGCTAGTATATTACTAGCATATAAAATATCTTTTAGACTGAGGGGAATCAATCCCTGGATCTTTTTTATATCCATCTTGATTATAAAAAGCAAATGGCAAATCAATATTATCACAGTAATTAGCAGCCCTCAAAATTAGGGTTGGCTAACCTCAGCCTGATAGGTACATAGCATTAGATACAAAGATCTTATGGTAAGACCTTTGTATCTAATGCTATGTACCTATCTTTGTATCTGACTGGAAATTCAGATTCTGACTTTCTGGAAATTCAGATTCTGGAAATTCAGATTCTGTCATTTTCTTAGTGATTGTCTTTAGGCTGATTTATTTTGTCTCTTTGAACATTCTATCGCTTATATATCTTCTTTGAATCAGCCAGGCATGGAAGTTTTTTTTCTTGTCAGTTTTAAATCAAAAAAAGTTATTTCTCTCCTAAAATTTTCTGCAGCTTGTTGTCTGGGCAACATTCTTGTCACAGTATTGTAAGCGTGTTTTACATAACTCTTTTCAAAACTATTCAACATGTGCTTATCTGAATTGTTAATACTTTTTTCTTGTTGTGAATTTAATCTGCTTTTCTTTTGCGCTGACCCTCCTAACTATGGTCAGATCAATCTTCTTACTCTTTTTAGTAAAATCAGGAATTTGGATGCCTTTATGGTTGCGTAACAACTTTGTCTTTGAATTTCATTTTTGAAAACCAAAAACTCTTTTGGTGCTTTTCTGGTAGACAATGATTTTGGAGTCAAATTCAAAATTTAAAGTTGCTTCCTGCTGTTATAAATTTAAAGTTTTTCGTTTATACATTCAACAAGGAAGATTGTTAGCTTTGATTTGGAACTCCTTTAGAACTTTAATGTTGGTGCATCCAATCAGGTTCATCAGTGTCATCCAGAGCAGTTGCAAATTTTTCAAAAACTACTTTAACTTCTTTTTTATTTTTTGAGTGAAAACTTGTTAGAGGTTCTACATAAATTGAATTTTAGAGAGGACATTTCAAGCTCACACAACAAACTATTAAGCAATAATCATGTTGACTTCAGCATAATTTTTATCTCCATCTCATTCTCTTCTGATTCTTGACTATGTGTGTTGTAAACATTTGAGTTTGCTTTTACTATACATTTTGTTATGAACATCATAACATTTTGTTATGAACATCAACATTTGTTATGAACATCATAACATTTGTTATGAACATCATAACATTTGAACCATTTGAACTTTTGAAGAGTTAAAAGCTTAAGTTTTGCATTTTTTTCATTGATAGCAAAAAAAATTTTTTTGGTACTTTTTTTTCTTGGAATTACCTAGCTCTACACAAGCTAACGTGTACAAATTCTATAAACATTCATAAACATGAAGGAAAATTATATACTTTGTACTGTATTATATACTGAAGTAAAATTATGTAATGTATGTAAAGACATTCTTATTTAAACATAACATTATAAAGTGTTTTTTTACCACTGTTAACCTGTTTTGCAAACCAGGAGTATTTTTATTGCAACTACTAGGAAGATTACTATACAAAGTTGTAGAGCTTATCCACAACAGAATACGTATGTTTACTTACAGCTACTGTGTTTTGCCAGAATAGTGGATAAGTTTGGCAAAACACTTGCTCAGCTGTGCAACAAATTACTATATAAGTAAAATTTTTAATATTAATGTTCAAGAGATTTTAATTTAACATTCAAGAGTTTTTTGGTGGTGGTGGTTCACCATTAATCATTAAATAAGATTTTAGTTTTTTCTTGTAAATAGTTGTGTTTTTGTCATGGATGATATTTGGAAGTATATTCCAAAGTTTAGGACCATAGTGGGATAAAACTTGATTACCAAAATAATTGCTGCATTTTGTTTCCTTTAATTTTAGTGTTTTTTCTGACATTGAGTAGTGAATTAAATTGCATATTGACATTGGTGCTTCCAGAATAATAGATTTGTGCATTATTCTAGTTTTAAATACCATTCTTGCGCACAATTTTGAACAGACTGCAGTTTTTTTAATAGTGACTTTTCTATTCCAAAGTAGAGGGAGTTGCAATAATCTAGCTATGTAAATTGTTTTATTTTGGATATTTTGCTCAATATATTGTAGCAGTTTTTAACAATCTTATTTGTGTTTTTAAAGATAGTTCATTGTCAAGTATCCTCCCTAAACTTTTTACTGAGTCAACAAATCTAATGCATTCTTTGTTAGTAAAAGTACCTTTATATCACCTAGTATATTTTTGAATGCTAGGTGGTGCCATAATTAATATTTTTATTTTCGATTGGTTAATACATAAGAATGATTCACTCATCCATTTAGATATGTATTCAAGACATTTTGGTATATCTAACACAAGTGTATTATATTGAGATAAAGGAAGGAATGCTTTTAGAGTTTGATGATCATCTGTGTATCCAAAAGTTTTAATATTGATTATGTTCAGATTTTTGTTAAGTGGTCTCATACAGATATTAAAGAGTTTTGGACCCAGGACTGTACCTTGTGATGCTCTGTATTTTACATTTTGGTTCATGGAATATGAGTTACCAATTTTAACTTATTGTGTATTGAGCAGGTTTTTTATCAGAGTTTTCCATCTATATAAGTTACATTGATTGTGGTTAAGAAGCCTCATCTGCACCAGTATAGGATCAGTTTAGCATCATAACCAGGGTGATAATTATCTTGTATCCATTGAATAAAAATACTAAATTATTTAGGAGCTAAGACAAAGAATTAAAGATAAAGACTCTAAAAGTGAAATGTCATAGTAACAGCTTTGGTTTGCTTCAATGCCAAAAAATTTTAAATTTTAAAATATCTATAAAAGTGAAAGACACAAAATATAAAGTTAATAAATCATTTCCTTTAATGAACATTAAAACAACTTTGTTCTGAGGCGTTTTTAACTAACATTATACCAACTTTGTTTCTAGGCTTTTAATAAACATTAAAACAATTTGGAAATGAAAAATTAAAATGTGGTGGAACCTATTTTATATTTAATCTATCCATAATTTTCTCAAGTGAACATTTGGCGCTAAATAATATATAAAAACTGCTAAAACTAAAATTAAAAAGAAAGTATTGCTCGGGTTATAGTATTATTTGTAAACCTGGTTTTGCAATTGTACAATAAATTTACATTGTGCCAGTAATGTTTGAAAGAAGCAAAGTTTCCTAAAAATCGTTTAAGGGCAGTTTTTTAAATCTAATGTTTTAATTTAGACAGTACAAATCAATTAATAAATTAAGAAGATGAATTAAGAAAATGTACACAATATCTTGTGTACACATCTTTAAAGCATTTAGGAAAGGTTTTTTTTAAATTCTTTTCTATTTAAGGAACCATTTCCACTATATCCTGGTGAAGAGCTAAAGGGCGCTAACAAAGCAGGTAAAATCAATGAGTTTTTAAATTTTTTGCTTTTTATGCTTACCCTAATATTAACTATTGAAAAAAACACTATTATTAAATTTTCTTTTTTAAAAATCAATTTTTTCAATACACTTTGCATGATTATAACTAAATTTAATTATGTGATGACCATAGTTAATACTTCCCAATGGTGGACTCTCTGTTTTTGTTTTTAGTTATAATCAAAGTGCGTTCGCTCAACCCAGATATTATTTTAAATTTTTGTTTCAGCATATTCTGATGCATTTAACAATTCTAAACAGTCTAAAAACCTTTCAGCTTGCATGTCAGACTCACTAGTTAGTTTGCTATAGTATTTTTCTGTCCACTTAGTTACATGGAAATTAAAATTAGGATTTGTTTGATAAATTCATTAAAACAGTTACTTGCATTTTGGTTCTGTACAACATGTTTTGTAACTCAATTACATTCCAGGTTTGTTTGATATTTGTATCATTTAAATACTTTACTAAAATTTCATATGCATTTATTTTTTTTGCATTCTCTTCTATCTTTGTACTTTTCTATTCTTTTGTACTCTCTTCTATCTTTGCCAACACCTTTATCTTTTCTAAAAAAGGTATACACATCAATACTAGTTACTGACTAATTCATTAGTCCTTAAAGTTTGCAGTAGTGAATGAACACTTGGCCAATGTTTAACATGGGTCGTGTTTTAAAGTTTAGGGTTATAAGAGAGTTTCAAATCAAATTTAAAATAAAATAAAATAATGAGTAGCTCCAGAGGGAGATACTACTTGACTATAGTGATCCTTTTAAAAAAAGTGCCCTCTTCAAATGTTTCAGACTGATTTTTTAAATTATTTGCAATATTTTTCATGAAATTGTTTTAGTTTCTTAAATGCTTTTGAACTTCAATTTTCTGATAATGCGTCATAGAAATATATTTAAAGGAAAAATGTATTTTGTTTGAAATGATTTATTTTGTGAATTACTGTTAACTTTGAGTACTCCTTGATATTATAAATATACTGAAAACATTAACAAAACAGTTTTCTTGATTTCTGTTCTACTTTCTTCTTAACCCAACTGTTTGTAATTATTTCCTAATTTTTATATGTTAATTTTTATTAGTTTGTCTACTATAGTGTATACTTTTATACTTTTTTCATTGTTACTTTTTTAATATGGTTTTTTTGAAAAAAGAAGAAATATATATCAAATCAAATTTAATAAAAAAAAAAAAAAATAATGAGTAGTGTGTGTTTGTCTGTAAATATATATATATATATATATATATATATATATATATATATATATATATATATATATATATATATATATATATATATATATACACACACACATATATATATATATATATATATATATATATATATATATATATATATATATATATGTATGTATATATATATATATGTATATATATATATATATATATATATATATATATATATATATATATATATATATATATATATATATATATATATATATATGTGTATATATATATTTATTAGGGTGATCCAAATTTTACACATTATTTAAAATGCAGACTCCACAACCCTAAATGTGTTCTATATAATAACATAATACTGGAGTTAAAAAAACTTCGTAAAAAAAATCTTTTTAGGGGTAGCTATATTCTTAAGCCATAAAATTTAAACTAGTAATCTTTATATAAAATGAAGAACTTTTTTTCTTGATAATATTAGGGGTCCGTCTGATGTTTAAGAGATTATAGCTACCCCTAAAAATATTTTTTTTTTAAGATTTTGTAACTCAAATATTATGTTAATATATAGAACACACACACACACACACACACACACACACACACACACACACACACACACACACACACACACACACACACACACACACATATATATATATGTGTATGTATGTGTCTGTATGTGTATGTATGTGTCTGCCTGAATATATATAAATATATATATATATATATATATATATATATATATATATATATATATATATATATATATATATATATATATTTATATTTATATATATTCAGGCAGACACATGTGTGTGTGTGTGTGTGTGTGTGTGTGTGTGTGTATATATATATGTCAAGCCTTTGCGGAAGAGGCATACAGTTGCATGCCTTATATGACCACGCATATTTACTTACATTTTTGAACATCATGTTGTGTTAAATGTATTGATTTCTGAAAAAATAAATAAAAAATCTGAAGGGAAGTGTGTGTAATGGGGGGGGGGGGGGAAGCAGACACCCTCGTGGCCCTCTTCTCACTATATATCTGCCCTTGTATTAGCTTATTTATTCATGGGAGAAAATGATAAAGATTGATAAATTTTTTCTCTTAACTTCCTTGATTTATGTCTGGTCTCTGATTGTAGCTTGTGTTCTATTTCTGCTTTTTCTCCTTTAAGTGGTTCTGATCTCTTTAAATCTTTTATCTTGTACTTCCATAACGCTGACTGGGATTTTCTTTGTGATGGTTCTTGGGTTGTTGTCTTTTACCTCTCAGCTGAAAAATGTGCCTCCTACATAAACTCCTGGATTCAGGCAGGAATGGAAACTTTTATTCCTTCTCCTTAGTTCCAAGTCAAGCCTCCTTCTACTCCACGGTTTTCACTCTCTAGTGCAGCTGCTATATCAAATTTAATTATTTTTTCATCTTTTTTAAAAGAAAAACTCTCTTGAGAACAAACGGCTGTTTAATATTGCAAAAAAATTGATGTAAAAAGGTGTTGTCAGATGCTAAGCTTCATTAATCTTAGCTCACTTAATCTTGTATCTTATCTCAGAAGTTAGGCTCTAGAGACTTGTAGAAAATCTTCCACAGCGTTGTTAACAAAGGTAGGTCTAACATTCCATCTCTCATTTATCGGACTGATCTTATTATGTCTCCCAAGGATTAGACAGAACTATTTGCAAAGAACTATTCTTCTAATTTGATTCTCAAATCTTTCTTCCTTCCATTCCATTTAAACAGGTTAACTCATTGTTAAACATCCAAGTCACTCAAGCTTCTGTTGCTAAAGTCATATCTCAATAAAACTCTTCTAGGGCTTGTGCCCCAGACAACATTCCAGTCATAGTCTTACAAAATTGTTCCCCAGAACTATCTTCAATTCTCTCTAAACTATTTAATAAGTTCTTGCCTGAGTCTTGCTTTCCTGTCTCCTGGAAAATAGCATCTGTTGTTCCAATTTTCAAAAACTCTGGTGAATATTCTGACCCCTTCCATTATCATTCTATAAGTCTTTTTTCTGTTATTAGCAAGGTCTTTGAGTCTTTGATAAACAAATTTCTCTTATCCCATCTTGAGTCATATAACTTGCTGTCAGTCAATCAATAGGGTTTTTGATCCTCTTGCTCTACCACTGACTGCTGAGACTAAAAGATTTTATCGTGCATTAGATGAAGGCGAAGAGGCTTGGGCTATTGCTCTTGACATATCCAAGACTTTCAACAAAGTTTTCTTTCTTTTATTGAAGAAAGCAATCATAATGTTTAAATATTATTTCCTTTAAAGTTCATTGTCATGTTTTCCATCTGTCTTTCCATCCATCTTTTATCTTCTTGTTTTCCTGACTCATACAATCTACACCTTTTCAAGACTTTTCAAATCAACTGTTTCCTTGCTCTATAACTCTATTCTTTTTTTTTAGTAACTCCCAATAGTGGTTGCTTGCAGCCTTGTTGGGAGTGAATCAGAAAAAGAACAGTACACTATTGAAGAAAGTAATTATGTTTTAACATGGTTTTTGCATGCGTTTACAAAAGCATGCAAAATTTTATTTAAAGTGAATGATTTAAAGTGGAGATTTTATTTAAATGCTTTGTTATTACTTCAAAAAAAAAAAACATGCTTAAAAATTATGATTGCTTTCTTTTATTGAAGAAAGCAATTGTAATGCAATTGTAATCAAAAGTATTGTTTCCTTTAAATCAATTATAAAGTAATTAGCTATTACATTAAAAGTTCAAAACAAATGCATTGATTTTAAATAAAATTTAGCATGCTTAATTTTTTTTTTTTCTTATTTTCTTTAAAGTAAAATAATGTTTGTTTTTACATTAAAACCTAATAAAGTATATAGAATTATTATGTTTATTGTAGTTTTTATTTTTTAATGTGTATTTAACAACACCAATAATATATTTTTATTAACTTATTATCAAGTACTTAATATGGTATTGTTATTTTTAAAGGTTTTAAAAAAGAAATATCAAAACTGTGGCCTATAACTCAACCTAATTTTGAAATTTCGTTAATCATAGAATATGACGATTTTAAATCAACAATTTTTCATTTTTATATTTACACCTAATTAAAACATGTACTAATTTTTCAACCTACTAAATCGTTGACCTACTGTATTTTTGACCTACTGAATTTTCAACCTACTGAATATTCAACCTACTGTATTTTTAATTTTATAACTACGCCTTTCAAGTATGTATTTTGTATATTTTGTTGTTGATTTGAATATGAGCCAAATTTGATTAGCCTTGGCGTAGTGGTTGAAGCGCATTCTTCAGAATCGGAAGGTATAAGGTTCAATGAATGCTTGGAAAACTTATTATTTGTTAATTAAAAAAAAAATAAAAATCGTAATTTAAAAAAAAAACAATGTTAAAAACACAGACCAGATAAATGGTTGAAAATTGATTTATCTCAAATCGGTTGAAAATGAAAATCTATAAAATAGGTCATAAAATAAATTGGTCAAAAACTAAAATGTCATAAATTGGTTGAAAATAAAAAAGACTATAATCGGTTGATCTAAAATTTAGTTTCACTTTTTAGTAGATGTTCTTTTTGTAAAACAACTAATTAGGTTGAAATTTTTGTAGGTCTAACTATCTGACACGATCAAAACAACTTTTATTTTGTTTTAAGTTTCTTTTATTTTAGTTTCTTGATGTTTATAAGTTTTTTTATTATTAAATAAATTTAACAACTAAAATTAGAAAAATTCACTATTTTATATCAATGGATAACAGTTTACAAACATTAGGTCGTTGCATATTAATTATCATTATTTTCACACACTATGCAAAAGCATTAATAAAAGTTTTGAAAAAATAAAAGTTGATTAAGTTTACCAAGCATCATTGATATATTTAATAACTTATTAACTAAAATATAGTTTATTTGAAATAAAATTCCCATTTAAACATAAATCTCTTAAATTAGACGTTTGTCAATAATTAAAGATATGTACATCAACCTTCATAAAAAAAAACAACTGTCATGCTTTGATATAGTTAAAAAACAGTTTGCAGATGTAATTGTTTCAAGATTATTGAAATTATTTTGTTATCTTATACGTAGGGTGCTTTTTTCAGCAACAATATTCGATGCAAGCCAAAAAATGAAACAGCTATGTCTGAAATTTAAAAAAATCTTTTTGTAAAATATATTTATGTATTAATAAATAATTTTTTTAACTAGAAATTATATTTCCATGATAAAACCGTTCGTAATGATTTTTTGATAGCATCTCTACTCATTTTGCCTTAAACTCTAATCTCAATATTTTTTTCAATGATCAGTTTTAATTGCAATTTTAATTGCATTGCAATGGAAGTTTTGTAGTAGTTTAATTATAGTTATGGAATCAATTAAGTTAAAAACCGCAGTTACGTTTGCTTTGTTTTTTTAGCACATTTTTTAAAACTGCTAATTGTTGAAACTTGCAAAGCCAATATGTGGCCAAATGGTAAAAACAAAGTATTATGAACTTGGTCATATAAAGCGTGTGACTGCACGGCTCTTATGCAACAGTATGTATATATATATATATATATATATATATATATATATATATATATATATATATATATACATATACATATATATATATATATATATATATATATATATATATATATATATATATATATATATATATATATATATATATATATATACATATATATATATATATATATATATATATATATATATATATATATATATAATATATATATATATATATATATATATATATATATACATATATATATATATATATATATATATATATATATATATATGCACTAAATTAGGATTGTTATATATGTTTATTTTGAATATTTACTTGATTTATTTCAATTATGTCAGTTGATTACTTTTAGATTACAGAGCTTGCATTAAGAAATTGCCTGTAGTTTTACACGGTACTGCATTAAAAGTGCAAGCACTTGTTGATTTTCATGATGGAAAAATTCAAAGAGCAGCTGGAGAAGAATGGCATGTTGAAGGACCATGTACATATTACCCACGCCCTGAATGTAAAGAAAAGGATACTGTTAAATCAATTGTTATTAACTATGGCATGGCTTTGCGTTTACAAGCTCAAAGAGATTTAATTGACAAAAATGGAAAGTTTAGAGTGACAGGTCTTTATTTAATATTTTTAGACTGTCAGATCATGTTTGTTAAGTATAATTATGTTTATTTTGGTATATATACTTTCATTGTGTTATCATAAATATTTATTATCAGATTCTTTTGATATGTCATATTTGTTATCACATCCTCTTATAGCGCTATGTTTGTTATTGCATTATCTTGTTATGCCATGTTTGAGATTATATCTGTTGTTTTTATATTGTTTGTATATTGTATATTGTGTTGTCATTGTTTTTTATTGTGGTAAAATTTGGTAATGGATATAATAGTTTATTAACTCTTTTTAACTCTTTAACGCTCATAGTAGCCATATGGCTACCAGTGGTTTTACTGGCTGTATAAACTTAGTCAACTATATTTTTTATTACAACTTATGTTAATTTTGTAATTTTGACCATTAAAATATTCAATATTGTCAATAAATATTAAATGGTGGCATTTATTTGCTTTAAAATAAAATATTTGCTTAAATGATATTTTGTTCACTATAAGTGACTTTCTTTTCAATTCAAAGAAATGGATATAAATGTCTTGATCATCTTATTTGAACGATAATGTTGTCAAAAGATTGGACTCCATAAGGAAAAAAAGAAAATGATATTTAAAAAAAAGAAAAAGATATTTAAAAATATATATTTATGAAAGTTGTATTTTCGAGGCATCCATGGGTACTACGGGCAGAATGGGTTAAAATACTATTACGTGTTTTTACACGCATGCACAGATATAATATATATACATATTGGAATAATATATGTAAAATATATATATATGTATTTCATATATAAATATAATATGTATATATATATAATATATATATATATATATATATATATATATATATATATATATATATATATATATATATATATATATATATATATATATATATATATATGTTTTGTAAGCAAATAAAGCGAGAAAAAAAAGAATTTGGTTTAATAAGTCAAATTAGATTCCCATAAGTCTAAGTATATGTTAAATTTTTTTTTTTGAAAATAATTTTTAAACAGAATTAGAATAATTTATTTTTTTAAATCTAAATTTTTTATAATTTAGTTTTTATTTCACTTGTTTTTAATAAAATGCTTCTGCTTTTTAAACTACTTTCAAGAAACAAAAAAAACTTAATTATTAAATGAATTTTAGAAGACTAAAATTATCTTGTTCAAATAGATTTCATTTTAAAATGAATTCCTAAAAACAAAAATGCATATTTATAAAAAATGTTTCTGGCTAATTTTGAGCATATTAAGTATATTTTGTAGTTCAGTAATTTAACTGTAGTAACTAAATTGGTTGTCTTGATTTAGTTAAGGTATATTTACTGTGATGTACTTTATCCATAAAGTAAATCAAACTAAATTTAATTTTAAAATAAATGATTTTTATTGGTTTCCACGCAGCAATTTAAAGCACTTTGAGTTGAATGAAAATTCTTGTGCAAGAGAGCAAATGATCATACTTCTATTTAAAAGTTAAATTTAGTGTGATGTTGAAATGAAATGCCATAGTGTGATGTTGAAATGAACTTTATGGATAACCGCTAATAAAAACTCAAGACAAAAATATTCTATATTTTTTAGAATGACCAAAAAAAAATTTTTAACTTAGAAAAGAAAAAGAAAGAAACAAAAAAACAAATCATTAAAATATTAAAAAAAAAAGGCAAAAGTGCGAAAAGCCAGACTTTCGATCGTAATACACTTCGAGCCCTGCAAAAAAAGTGAATGATACATCAAAAATAAATGGCGCAAGATGCAAAGAATGATGCAAGATGCATCAAAGATAATTGTTTATTTTTTTTTTTACCATGATTCTATACAATGCTAGTGCTAAATTTGATCAGGTTTGGATAAATGATAAATTCATAAAGCACATACGAACATATATTATATGAACATAGATATATTTTTATATAACTAGATTTCAGAAAATAGTTTTGTAAATTTTGTAACAAAAGTTATAAAAAAGTAAAGAAGATAAAAAGAAGATAAAAAGTAAGGATTGGATTATTAGAGTTAGAAGATTAAAATGTTTAAAAAAAAAAAAAAGAATAATTTTAAACAAATAAACAAAAAAAAAAAAAAATTCAGTTTCTAAAATTTTAAAATATTTGATATATTTAACAGATGAATAAATAGAAAATCAAGCAGCAGAAAATAAAAAGTAGACAAATAAAAAGTAGACAAATAAGAGGTTAAAAAACCAAGAACAATAATGACTAGTATTAAATAATAGAAGATTGCCTATTCAAAAATTATGTTTAATACCAAACTTTATCTATGTTAAAATAAAAATTATTTAAACATAATCTGTGTTAAATTCTAAAAGATTAAGAGTTTATTCTTTTTTTGTTTATTTTTCATATTCATTAACTTCAATTTTTTTTAAATATTTTTTTGATTAAAATTATTTATTAATTTATTACTTGATTTATATTATTTATTTTGTTACATGATTTTGTTTGATTAATCTAAGGTGAGGAATGGTTGGTTAAGAAACCTGGTGCTTATTTACCTGGTGTATATGAAAGAGTTGTTAAACTTGAAAGCGGTTACACTCTTACACTGAATGATGCTCTTCATATGTGTGCTAGCATTAATCTTGTTGATGGATTACTCACACCTAGGTAGATTTTTTTTGTTTGTCACTTACCTTTTAAAGAGTCTAGAACAATTTGTCTAAAACAAGCAATAATGCTTACTAAAATCTTTATTAATATCAATCTTTCATAAAACTCACCTTTTCATATTAAATATAGAACTTATTGAAAATGTAATCATGTATATTTTTTTTCAATATAATTGTTCCATCTGATTAGTTATATTTTTATTATTTTTATTTATTATGCTAAAAAAATTAGTTTTAGTGGTGTTTTCTTTTTTTTAACTAAAGAAAATTTTTGTTTTACTTAAGAGTTGCTGGAGAGGAATGGTTGGTAACATCAGAAGAAACACCTCTATATATTCCTGAAGTTGGAGAAGTAATTTTTTATTTAGTTAATTCAAATAATTGAACTTTTGAATAACATAAAAATTTTTTAATATTATAAAAAAAATTATAGCTTAACAATAAAGACTTCATGTAACAAAGACTTTATTTTGTAATTCTGAATTTACTTAGGATATTGTAAAGCAAATCTCACGTACAGTGCTATCTAAAGACCAATTTTGTGTTGTTTTAAACCCAGTTGAAAATGGAAAACAGTGTTTTGGTAAAAGACAGTTAAGAAAAGGGCAGACTTCTTTTTTTCTTCAGCCAGGTATTTAACCTTAGTTACTAGTATAATGTTACATTTAATAAATACAACCCTCAGAATTAAAAAAAAAAGTCAGCATTAAAATGCTGTCATTAAACTATTTTTATCAGTACAATGTTGGCACTGAATTTTTAACACAAAGGTTTTATAATAACCACAGAAACAAAGTTGGCAAAAAATCGCAGTATATATAATGCTGACATAAATATATATATATATATATATATATATATATATATATATATATATATATATATATATATATATATATATATATATATATATATACATATATATATATAATATATATAGTTGTCAGCATTGCTGAATGTTAGACTAATTTCTAGGGAGATTAATATTTACATCATTAAAAGTTAAATTGCGTCGTTAGTGTATTTTAATGTACCGCAATGTAAATAAATTTAATTTTAAACTGCTTTAAAAATCATTTAAGAGATAGTCCATAAATTATGAAATGCTAAATTTAATAATAAACAAAACAAAAAAGATCAAAAGTTTTCCCATAAGTTAAATAAAAAATCAAAATAGCAAATTTCGTTTAACAAGAATCACTGCGTAATAGAGCTTTAAAGAGTCTACTTTATTTTAAAAATAAGTTTAACGTTGCATAGTATATAGACAATCCCTAAACTAATAAAACAAAAATTATTAATTATGGCCAATTCCATAGTTCAGTGACGCATTATGCAGAGAAATTTCTTTTAATGAAAATTTTTCTATAACTCAAAAATTATTTTTGGTTACTCTAAATCAATCTAGTATTAAAATTTTTTAATATTAGTTAAACACTTTTGATATTGACATAACACTGAAACAAGACAAAAATGAAAACATGAGTTCAGTGAGGCAATGCAGGTAAAAGTGCTTTTTTTTATCAGCATTTTTTTAAATGGATTAAATTTTTCTCTGAAACTTTAATTCTTGCTAAATTAATTAGATTTTGCTGCTGTAATTTATTCATTTGGCAATAAGGCAGTCATAGAAAAATCCACAAACAACAAAGTTTTCATACCGATTTATTCTACAGAAAAAAATTATCAGTTCAGTAGCGCAACATTCCGTGACAAAACAAAAAGATGGAGTTAAAATCATATTTAAAAAGTTGTGTTATTTTGTAAAAAAATTTAATTATACTTAAGTGAAAATAGCATGGGAACAAATTTATCATTTGGAACTTTAAAATCTTTTGATTTTGATATGTATTTGATTTTTCTTGACTAACTTTTAAATTAAACTGAATCCAAGTTCATTTTTTTGTTGTCTTATATTGTATTGATAGAAATACCTAGCGTTTTTAGCCTAGTCAACTTGGACTACCGCAATTTAAGAATATTCATTGAAACTTCCTTCTGTTACTTAAAATTTGTTGATTGTTTTTTTTGTTTTTTAAATGCGTGTTTAATGAATGCATCGCTGATATTTGTTGGATTAGTTCTGTTACAGTAGACTTTCTTAAAATTTTGTCAATGTTTGCATATGTTTTAGTTTCAGGCTTCCTTCATTCATCCTAGGATACTTCAAAACCAAATGTATCAACAGTTTGCAAATTTATCAAACTGCTTCATGCAACCCATTTATTATAGGTGCAATTGTTTATTATCATGCAATCCATTTATTATAGATGCAATTGTATGTGTACAGTTCACAAACAAATTTTTATCATTTCAGATCCAACTTTGATTAAAGACGCTTGAACTGATTTTGTTAATGTATCTAAGGCAAATCACATAATTTCATGCAAACTTCAAACATAAACATTATGTGGTAAATTTTGTAACAGATTTTACATTGATTAGACAAGGTCACAAAGTCCAATTTTGATGTGCTGATGCTTTTCCTTGAATAACTCAAAAGCTTCTTTTAGCGTATAATTTAAATGACATACCGGAATATTGTTTGCTTTTCCATCAGATAATTGAATCCGAGTGACATCTTTTTTGTTCAGTAATATTTGGGAAACTTAACCTCATAAAAGTTTACAACTGCTAAAACATCACTTTCAGAAAGATCATACAGCTTTGAACATGGTAGACCCGGATTTTCTTCACAAACAGAGCTATTTGAAAGAATAGAAAAAATTTCAGCTTGTTTTTTTTTCTTTTTATTTGGTAGTGCTTTTAAAACTTTTTTCAATGCTTTTCCTCTTTGTCGAATGTTTTTAAAAAATGAGCTTAGTCTTTGAGATAATAATTTTCATAATTGATTTTAATAAGTTTTCTTTTTAGAGCACATCTTTTTACAGCTCTTAATTTTGCTTTAGCATTATAAGCTGTATTTTTTATGAGGATCGGCTTTTAATTTTTCTCGATAACTCTTAGATCTTACTTTAGACGTTTCTTTCTTTTTATTAGGATTCCAAGAAACATAGTTAGTTTGTATTTTGCATAACATTCTTTTCTTACATCTAATTTTGATTCTATTTTTTAAAAATATACAATTTTATAAGAAAATGTCAACATAAATCCAATAATTTACTCATATTTACTGCTCTTCACAATACTAAAATGCATAATTTATTTGACCAAAACCCACTGTGAAATCTGAACATTTGGATAATATTTTGACTTCCTTACCATGCTATTTTTTAAAACACTAATTATCCTGTTGATGGGATCAGTGATGCAACAGCTTTTCAACTATAATTATAAGTTAATATAATGCTTTTTAAACTTTTTTTTTGAATATTGATAGCATATTCACATTATAATATAGAATTTCTAAAAAAAACCTTGCCTTAAAGGGACTACCAAGTCTCGAGACATGTTGTGTTCATATTAAAGGGAATGTTAAAAAAAAACATCTGAGCAAATTTTTTTTGATTAAAACTAATTAATAAATGTATACCAAGAAAAACACATCTTGTTGTTTTAGTCGAAGCTCGTCTTCTCCGTTTTCTCTGGTATTTTGAGTATGTAAAATAAACGCGATTTTCCAGGCGCATTATACAGACTTAATAATTTATTCAAGCGCGTTTAATTCATAGGAGTTTTAGTGCATGACGTCATTGGAAACATTTTAGAAATTCTTTAATAATTTTACTATTAAATTTTACTCAAATAGCTAACTATAGTTACTTATTTTATTAAAAGTTTATTTTATTAATTGTTCGTTAGTTTTTTACAAATCTAACGAACAATTAATCAAACCAAGCACTAAGAAAAGATATAAAAATTAAGAATATACTAATAAAATATATAATTTGTAATTAACTTTCAAAATTTTGACAATTTAAAAAATATATATTATAAAACATTTTTTTTTGTAAACAAATATTATAGTTTAAAAGTTTTACGGCTTTACAGATGTGGCTCCGAGAATGAGCCATAATACTAAAGTAATAGTTCATTTGATAATATATTCTTAAAAAAATTTATGCTTGTTATCTCAAAACGCATCAAATGGTAAATAATACAATTTCTAAAACAATTCAACAGAATACTCTAGAACTTTATTTCGCTTAGTTAAGCTTGACTTGTTTTAGTCAAGCTTCGACTAAAACAACAAGATTTGTTTTTCTTGGTATACATTTATTAATTAGTTTTAATCAAAAAAAATTTGCTCAGACGTTTTTTTTTAACATTCTCTTTAATATGAACACAACATGTCTTGGGACTTGGTAATCCCTTAAAAACCTAATTTCATAGTGATATTTTTTTTTACCTTTAAGATCAGTGATGCAACCTAATTTTTGCAGATGTGTATGCGACAAAAAAGTATTTTTAAAGTCTAAAGGTTTTTTTACTTAAGTCATATATATATTTTCAAAGATTCTTTTGAAACAAAAATATGGTTATGTTTTGTTTAAAATGTTGCAATAACTTGCCCTCAAATTTTACTTACTTTTTCAATTAATTAAAAGAAAAAACAGCTGTTCAAATTTCAAAAAACTTTACTCACTTTACGTCAAATTTATTTGGTTCAAATAATCTTTACTCAAAATTTCTTTTAACAATAGTTTCAAAATTTCTTTTAACAATAGTTTTAGACAGTTGATTTTAAATTTTAAACTACAGTTTAAGAAAAAATGTGTGTTTGTATATGTATATATTCTATAGCTGGTTTAGGTAAGCATTTGCTCACTAGTTTTGCTTATCTTTATAGCATACAACATTTTCAGAAAAAGAATAAAAATATGAAGAATAATGAAAGAAAAGATTACTGCCCCATCCCAAACCCTCAGTCAATGTAGCAGCACTCTGTTGAAAATCAGGCTATTTGTCAGTAGATGTATGTACTGAAGCCCTTGACAGCAAGCTATTTCAGGGTGACGTCACAGTGCATATTTAAACACGCATTTATAGTTGAGTGTGTGTATATATATATATATATATATATATATATATATATATATATATATATATATATATATATATATATATATATGTATATATATATATGTATATATGTATATATGTATATATGTATATATGTATATATGTATATATATATATATATATATACATATATATATATATATATATATATATATATATATATATATATATATATATATGTATATATATATATATATATATATATATATATATATATATATATATATATATATATATATATATATATATATATATATATTAGGGTGTTAACTTTTAAGTTAGGTGTTGAATTTTTATTTTCTTTAAAAGTATGTCAACCTGGGTCTCAAAAGAACCAGAATTTTATAGTGATTTTAAAATTCATGGGTCTCAAAAGACCAGAATTTCAGAATTTCAGAATTTTCAGAATTTTATAGAGATTTCAGAAATGATAATAGTTTCAAATAAAAATTGCTTATAATTTCAAATAAAAATTTTATATACAAAAAAACAACAATTTTTAACTGAAAAGTGAAAAGGTTGTTTATTATGACATTTTATGTTTGTGTATATATATATATATATATATATATATATATATATATATATATATATATATATATATATATATATATATATATATATATATATATATATATATATATATATATATATATATATAGTGTACAAAATTAACTTTGGCACTCGGCATATGTTGAGGGCTTTGTTGTATTTTGATAAACTGCCATTTGAAAAATGTAGAGGTTATATTTTAGAAATTAATTTGAAAGAATATAATTTGAAAAATTATACTCTTGTAGTAATTAACTAATATAGATTTGGTAAAAAAAGTTATTAAAAAACTTTTAGAAAAGAAGGCTAGTAAAAAAACTTCAAAAGAAATCATTTCTAAAACCAAATATAATCTTATGTAATAAAAACCATTTTTCATTCAATTTCATTCAAGAAAATAATTTATTAAAAAAAAAAAAATGCAAAACTTTAATTCAATTTTAAAGTATTTCTGAGTTAATGCAGAGGTAAATGATACTTTTGGAGTCAAGCCCTTGTCATATATATATATATATATATATATATATATATATATATATATATATATATATATATATATATATATATATATATATATATATATATATATATATATATATATATATATATATATATATATATATATATATATACATATATATATATACATAGATATATATATATATATATATATATATATATATATATATATTATATATATATATATACATATATATATACATAGATATATATATATATATATATATATATATATTATATATATATATATATATATATATATATATATATATATATATATATATATATATATATATATATATATAATTGTGTAATAAGCTTGAAAGCTAGATATATTTCATAGTCAAAATGGTAAATTTCTTAAATAATTAGGAGAGGAACTTGAAAATGGTATTCAAAATGCATATCTACTTGAATATGATGAAGCACTTATTTTGTCTGCTGCTGCAGAATTTGAAGACTTATCTGTTAATCGTAAGTTTTGTTTGTAACTATAATATAATAAAATTTAAAATTTTTTCTATTCCGTCATTAGCAGCTTTTTTTTTGCATGTCATTAAATAGTTAACTGGTTTGTATGTATTGGCCCTGGCTAAATTTGGCTTTTTTATAAAAGACTGTCTTTGTTAAAAATTTAAATTGGCAGGCATTACTAGTTAAGACTTGTATTTTTGTAGGTTAGTTTTTTTTTGTAGGTATTTTTGGTATTAATATGTATAGACATGGTAAAGCTGAGGAATGATAATGATGACGATTGATAATGACGATGATAATGATGATAATGGTGATAATAATGATGATGATGTGATGATGATAATAATAATGATGATGATGATGATGATGATGATGATGATGATGATGATGATGATGATGATGATGATGACATTAATGTGTTACCAATCTTCTCTCAACCCTGTGACACTACCACTGTACGGGCAGTTAAGCATTTTACTTACAAGAACATGTTTTAAACAGTAAAAACAAGAAAAAAAGTTTACTTTCATTGACATGGCTAAAAAACTGAATCAGTGCTGATGTTAATGTATGTATTTTAATGTTAATGGATGTTTGGATATATATTTTTTTCGTTTTTGTTTTTTAAAAATTCTGATTCACTCCCAACAAGGCTGCGAGCAACCCCTATTAAGTTAGAAGTTACTAGAAAAAAAAAAAAAAAAATTAAAGAGAAGAAAAGGATTGACAAGTTGAAGGTTCAAAAGTTGAAAGTTGTATGAGTCAGGAAAACATGAAGATGAGAGAGAGTTATAAAGTAATAAATTTAAGTAATTTTAAACATTAAAAAATGTATTTTCTTAATTATACAGCTCCCATCCAACGCAAACCTGGAGATTTATGGATGATACGTGGATCCCAAGTTTACATTCCACCAGTTGAAGTAGATGTTAAGCTCAAAAGGTTTTATATGCTTTCTACTTATTTTTTTGTTATGCAATTTTAAATTTTTAAAATTTAGAGTATTTTTTTTTAATTTTAGAGTATTTTTTTTTAATTTTAGAGTATTTTTTTTTAATTTTAGAGTATTTTTTTTTAATTTTAGAGTATTTTTTTTTAATTTTAGAGTATTTTTTTTAAATTTTAGAGTATATTTTTTAAATTTTAGAGTATATTTTTAAAATTTTAGAGTATATTTTTAAAATTTTAGAGTATATATTTAAAATTAATTTAATTAATGATAATGTGTCTCTAATTATTTAGAACACCTATTGCACTTGCAAAGAATGAAGGTGTTTATGTTCAGGATCAGAAGAATGGAAAGGTTTATGTTTTCAAATTATTGTTTAGAATATAATATTAAATACATTTTTAAAGTTCTTACTAGGCAACGTTGTTTTTTTTAACATTTAAGCGTAACGATTTTTTTGTTTTAAAGTTTTTAGATCTATTCAGTTGTTAAAATACAAATTTGTCATTTGTTTTTGTTACTCTTTCCTTTTTTATTTTTTGCTTTAGGTATTTACTGTCCTGGGCCCTATTTCATATTTATTAACCGAAACAGAGACTTTATGGGCTAAAGAATTGTCACCTCTGACTGTCAAAATGTTAGCGTAAGTTGATAAGTTTAATTTTTTAATTTTAGTTATATCAAATTGATAAAAATAATAATAAAAAAAAACTATATAAACATTCTTTTTCTTGGAATGTTTTAAGGAATGGCGGTTGTTGGGGGGATGAAGATATTCGGAAACTGGCGTACTTTGAGTCTTCAGTAGACCCAGTGTATGCTAATGAAAAGGTAGTTTTTAATAAAATTATAAAGTAATTTTAAAAAATACAAAAAATAATTTGCTACTGTTTTTTTTTTACTTTGCATTTTAGCGAGACAAAACAAGAATAGTAACTTATCGAGTTCCTCCAAATGCTGCAGTACAGGTAATGTTAGAAAGCAAACTAGACTGTGCATGAGTTTGACACTGAACAAAAATATGAGGCTTTAATGTTTTTGATTTAGCTATATACAGCTTTACAACAATTAATTATATTCTATATAAATGTACATATTAACTACAATAAAACTTTAATAGATAAGCATATACAGTATATGAGTGACAGAAACAACATGAAACAAAAACTTTAATTGTATTGTGTTTTAACTTAGGTGCCACTATTTATTTATATGGTTAGACTTATAAAATGTATAGTTTGAGCTTAAATTACATGACACTGTACAAAGTTCAGGGTTAACATTATCTGAATTGAAACTTTAGTGGAATTTAAATTAAAACAAAAACAAAAATACCATGTTATTTGCAAAAGAGATTGGTTTCAAATTTTACAGGATGTGCATTGTTTTTTAAACTAATCTACATTTTTGACAGGTTTTTGATCACCAAAAACAAACAGCTCGTGTGGTGTTTGGTCCAAATCTTGTAAGTCATTTAAATATTTTTTTATCTCAATAAATAATTTTTGAGTAACAAATATACAAAACATAATTTTCTTTGTTATTTTAATTTCTAACAGGTTGTTTTGGAACCTTCAGAGGACTTCAATATTTTAAATTTAAGTGGTGAGTGGTTCAATTACGTTTATTTTAAAAATAAAAAAAAGTTTTTATTAAAATTTTTTTTTTCATTTAAAATTTTAAAAAATTCTTTTGATGTAACATAATTTATAAATTGACCAAACAGTATATTTAAATCAAATGAATAATTCTAATCAATTGTTTATCAAAAAAAAAAAAATATTATTTTTAAAATATTTTTTCTGAACATTTCAGTGAGACAGTGTGCTCTTTTAGAAATAATACAATTTAGAAATACATAGAAAAACAATCATTTTCAAATTATTGTAAAATAAACCCAAATAGTAAAAGGTTTTTTGTGTTTTTTGTGTTTTTTGTGTTTTTTTTACGAAATCTAAAATGTTATCCCCAAGTTTAATTTCATAAAGAACAATAATTAAAATAATTAAAATAAAAATTAAAATAAGAATTAAAAGAGTTAAAAAAAAAAGTTATTTATAAATACTGAAAAGAAATGTAAAACAAAAATCGATTACAAAACGCATATATATAATAAAATATAAATAAAGCATATATAATAAAAAAATATATATAATAAAGCATATATAATAAAAAACATTTATAAGAAACATATATTCTAACATTATTAAATTGTTGAATTATTTTACAAATTTAAAAAGATTTTATTTTTTCAAGCTGGAAAGCCAAAAAAAGAAGGGGCATTAAAATCTCTTGCTATTATGCTTGGACCTGATTATATTACCGATGTTATTGAGGCAAGTTATTGTTGTTATTACTATTTCACTGTCTTTGTGTGTGGTTTATAAATATTCTAAATCTTTTAATAGGTGGAGACATTAGATCATGCTCGTTTATCCATAAAGTATGCTGCTAATAATAAATTTGAGGTGAAAACTTTGTTAAAAGACATTCTTTTATACTAAATGCATACTGAACATATTTTATTTTTTAAATTTTAAGTTTACAAACTTATTCTTGCAATATTCTTATTCTGAGTCTTATAAATTTATAAGATTTATATAAATTTATAAGATTTCAATAGAGTTCTAAATTAAGAGCCATATTTAAATTTACAAATAAAAATCAAATATCACACTATTTTTGTTTGTGATATTTGTTGACAAGTAAAAATGTTATTAATTTAGTAATGTAAATTTTCAAATGACGTTTTTGTTCTAGTTGTTGTTTTGTGTACTTGATGTTGCATACCATTTTGTTTTTTATAGGGGTTGCTATCATTTTTATGCTGACTTTAGCTACTTTAATATATAACTACTGATGCTATTTGAGTCTCTACCCTTTTTTTTACATAAGGATTTTTTTATCCAAGTAGAACACTAATGTCAATAAGTTTTATTTACAAAACATGACAATGTTTAAATAACAATTAACACATATATTGTAATTATTATAGTAATTTATTGTTATTTTTATGACTCAAATTCACTAAAGTTGCATGTTGTTGTTGTTTTAGTTATTTTGTTTTGTACACTATTGTAATAACATTACTGATCAAACTATGAAAGTGCTAAATTTTTAAATAAAAGTTTTACAATTGTAAAAATCATATTTAAAAAAAAAAAAACTTTTTAGATTAATTTTATTGATACTTTTTATATACAGTAAACTTCCGATATCTCGAACCCTCAATAGCTCAAACTATTTTGAATTTTGAATATTCGAAAAAATTTGAAACCTTTTTTTAAGAATTCTAATAACTTAAACATTCTCTAACTCAAATTTCTTTGTCCCTTTGAGGTTGGAAAAAATAAGAGTTTACTGATTATATATAGATAGACATGTGTGTGTGTGTGCATACATATATATATATATATATATATATATATATATATATATATATATATATATATATATATATATATATATATATATATATATATATATATATATATATATATATATATATATATATATATATATATATATAAATATATATATATATATATATATATATATATATATATATATACAAATATATATATATATATATGTATATGTATATATATATATATATATATATATATATATATATATATATATATATATATATATATATATATATATATATATATATATAAATATATATATATATATATATATATATATGTATATATATATATATATATATATATATATATATAGCATGTGTCTATGTAATGCGTGCATGTGTTTTTATATGCGTATAAGAGTACATTATGTGTAATTATATTTTACTATGTGTTTTTATATGTTGTGCATGTTATATATATATATATATATATATATATATATATATATATATATATATATATATTTATATATATATATATATATATATATATACAGGTTGAAATTGGTAACAAAGTATCAGAAGCGAAAATATTTTCAGTACCTGACTACATTGGTTTTGCAACTAAATCAATTGGTATTAGTTCATTATTTATTTAATATTTACTAAAACAATATTTATGCAACTTATTTATTTACATGTGCAGCATACATAATTATGCATATATATTTATGCATTATTTATTATAAACACTTTTAACTATTAAAACTGTTTTCAGATTGATAAATATAAATGTTTTTTAGTTTCAAAAAGTTATTATTGTATGGCGATAAAAAAACCAATGTTAAAATATTTTTTAGATTAATCAAGTTATTAAACATTTACTGTTAAATGGCTTAATAAATTAGAAATTTACAGGATTTTACAGGATGTTTATAACAACTATAACTTATTATTTTAATTATTACTTTCATTTGGATACCTAATATAAAGCCTAAGTATAAAATTAAAAACAATCTTTTGAAAACTTTCAAAATAAAAAAACTTGAACCTTTTTAAATTTTAAACTTTTGAAAAATAAAAAAACAAAAAAAATTTTACAACTAATCTGAAGTCAATATTTAATTCTAATCTAATGTAAATTCTTTGCTCTTGTAAATAATCAAAGTTACAAAACAAAGTGTTTCTTGTCTTGGTATTTATTTTGTTTCATGTGAATGCAAATTATAGAATATAGGTGAAACAGGCAGGTTGATACCAGAATGAAACAGCATCATTGGCTGAACATTGCAAAGCTTTCTAAAATGGAAAAATGCCACTAAATAATGTCACTAAAATCAGAAAGCAATTTTTAAAAAAGGACTATTTAGGAATATTTAGAGAATTTAACTATTTTGATATTCAAAATTTTGGTATGAATGATAATGCTGTAAAGTATTTCAAAACTAATCAGAGACAAAGTGTGTTTGCGCATATGAAAAGAATGACTCTAATTTAAAAAAATTGAGAAATCTGCCTAATGCAACAAACTCAAATTCAAGCTAAAAACTTTGCAGTGTTTTTGCAGTGCAAAGACTTCTAACCTCTAAGATTGAAAATTATTTTCAACAATTAGCAGCTGAAGTTATTTTGTTTTATAATTATTTATTGAAAATTAAATATTTATAGAATAAATTAGTGTTTATTTTATTAACCTAATATTTTATGTTATTATTAAAATAGAACATCAGGTTATCAAGGAATATATTAATTTATTATATCAATAAATAATAATTGAATTATAAATATAATTATAGTTATATATTAAATGAATTTAAAATGACCTTAAGGAACAATAACTATCATTTTTAATGTTGCTGTTAATGTTGTTATTATAATTGAAATAATATTAATAAAATGCAGGATTAAAGCACTGAAACTATGATTGAAACACTGAAAGGCATTTGTTATGAAGAAAGGAGAAAAATATTAGGTTTACCAATGTTACAAGAAAGGAGAAAAAAGGGTGATATGATAGAAATATTTAAAATATTAAATTCAACTTAATATATTAGATCTAGGGAGCCTTTGAGATTTTACAGCCACATGTCCAGAAATTGTCACAATTAAAGGCTTCATCGAGAGTTCACTAAAAAAATATGCAGGTTTTAATATTTAACAAATAGAGTCGTAGACGATTGGAAATTCTTGTCACAAGATAGAATTGATTCTTCAAACAAAAACATTTTTAAAAATAGAATAGACAAAGTTCCGAACTTTTGGTACCAAATTATTTTCCTAAACTATTTTTATTAACAAAATCTTTTATTTAAAGGCTGGTATAGTCAACACTATGTAGATTTGACTCACAAAACTTAAATAGTTTCTATAGCATTATATATATATATATATATATATATATATATATATATATATATATATATATATATATATATATATATATATATATATATATATATATATATATATATATATATATATATATATATATATATATATATATATATATATATATATATATATATATATATATATATATATATATATATATATATATATATATATATATATATATATATATATATATATATATATATATATATATATATATATATATATAGTAGCAGTTAGCAACCTTTAGTTTTCGAAATTTAAAGTGAGGAACAAGAATTTTATTCATTTAAATTTTTTTCCTTGATAATTTTTGTAGACATGGTATAATTTTTTTTACTTGTTCATCATCTGATATTCTAATAAGTTATGATAATTTTTGATTTTTTTTTTATCATTTATGGAAATGCTCTGGATCTAGGATAAGGTCATTTTTACGGTATATTAAAAAAGTGTTTGATGATTATAAAATTTTTTGATTGAGAAATGTTAATGAAATTATTTTTTTACTATATTAGCAAGTCGTATTCGAGGTCAAGTAGCTCGAACTTCATTTGATGAGTTTCATCGTTATTCAACAAGAATCGTTAAAGAAGCAGTTTTTGGTTTTGACGATGAAGGGAATGTGCGTCATGCACTTTACTTTAGTGAAAATGGACTGGTATGTTTACATTGTGAACTTTATTAAAAGTTTAAGTTACCTGATTTTGCAATAAAATTTTTTTTTACATTACAGAAAGTTACAAACATTGATGTTCAAAGTATTGAGCCGGTGGATGCTCACATGCGGGATAGTTTATTGAAGTCTGTACAGTTAGCAATTGAGATCTCTACTCAGTACGGTTTACCTATAGATCATCAGTATTTTATTAAAAGTTAGAATGAATTATGATTTTACAATTATATTAGAAGCAAAGCTGGTAAACTGTATAAATGTTATATTTTCTAACAGATCTATTGAACGATCAGCTGTACATGAAGCAGCGAGACATGAACAAACAGCAAAAGGAAACTTAGATAAGAACCGTTTATTCAATGAAAAGGTGTGAAGTATTTTATTTCACTTGCTAATTCATTAAACTCAAAAAATTATTTAATAATAAAGGAATAAAAATAAATAAAAATAAGATTTAGTTGAATTTATTAGTACAAACATTTTGGTAAGATTACGAACATTACGGTTTTCTTAATAGGCAGCTGAAGAAGAACGCAGAAGGTTGTATGAACTTAGAGCAGTAACAGCAGCTGTTGAGTCAAGTGGTCAAGCTATTGCTGAAGCTAAAGTAATAATATATTTTTTCTTAAAACATGTTGGATATAAAATTTCGTTTTATTTTTTATGATATAAAATTATTGTTTGAAAAAAATAGACTTATGCAAGGTTGTTCAATTTAATTCAATTTAACATTGTGTTTTCACATAAAATAGTATATTATTTAAAGTTATTGATTTGATATTTTAAGGCGCTAGCAGAAAGAGCTTTAATTGAAGGAAAGACCGCAATCGAAGGTATTTTTTTTATTTAAAAGTTTTATGTTAAAAAAAGTAAAATCAGCTTTTTTTTTTACGGCACTTTAATTTTTCAAAAACACTTACAAAAAATGTTTTTAGTTGCTAAGCTACGAACAGAAGCAGAATCAATAGAAGCTGAAGCTAAACTCCATTCGCTTGAGCAGGTAGCTCTTCATCAAAATATATTTGTTACATTGTGATTTCATCTACATTTGTTACAGTCTTGCTTCTATTCAATTGTTTGTAATTATCTTCATTATACGAAGAATGAAGAAATTCATATTCTTTCATTTTCTTCATAATTTTAGTTTTTGATTTGTTATTTTATTATAACTTTCTGACTTTTAATTTTAGCAACGAAAAGCTGAAATTGATTATATAAAGACTGTAAACCAGATGGAAATTGAAAAAGCCAAATCACTTGCTGATATTGAGGTACATATTATGAAGAATTTGATTGGAATATTTTACATGAATACTTGTTTTTATTTATTTTTACTGTTTTTCTTTTAGACACAAAAGTCGTCAGCTATGATAAATGTTATTGGATCAGATGTTGTCCGCATCATTGCAGATGCTGGTATGGTTGCAAAGGTATTCTATTTCTAAATTCTGTATACAATAGAATTATACTTGATAGAGAATGTCATAAGAACCTTTTTTTCAGATGAATATGTTGCAAGGACTTGGTATAAAAAGTACATTAATCACGGATGGGAAGACCCCTATAAACCTTTATCAAGCTCCAAATGGAAACATTTATCCTGTCTGCCAATAGGTATTCTATTAATCTATTAATTAATGTACATAACACGTGTGTGTTATATATATACACATATATACATATATATATATATATATATATATATATATATATATATATATATATATATATATATATATATATATATATATATATATATATATATATATATATATATGTATATATATATATATATATATATACATATATATATATATATATATATATATATATATATATATATATATATATATATATATATATATATATATATATATATGTATGTATATATATATATATATATATGTATATATATATATATATATACATATATATATGTATATATATATATATATATATATATATATATATATATATATATATATATATATATATATATATATATATATATATATATATATATATATATATATATATATTGCGCATTGCGCATTGCCGCGCAGCGGCCTTGTTCGTCAAGGATCGTGTTTCGAAGTTATAGAGTTGAGAGATGGTTATAACCAAAATTAAGTAGCCCCTTGTCTGTAGTGGCCTTCTTGGCCTTGGGGACGTGAATTAAAATAAAATAAAAATAGTTACATTAAATCCCCCCTTTTAAATAATATTTTCAAAAAAAGCAAAAAGTAATCAATTCTAAAATTTACAGTAGTTAAGACATTTAAATATATATATATATATATATATATATATATATATATATATATATATATATATATATATATATATATATACATATATATATATATACATATATATATATATATACATATATATATATATATATATATATATATATACATATATATATATATATATATATATATATATATATATATATATATATATATATATATATATATATATATATATATATATATATATATATATATATATATATATATACATATAATATATATATATATATATATATATATATATATATATATATATATATATATATATACATATACATATACATAAATAAGCTACATTTACTACAGATATATACGACTAAGTTTGGAAATAACTTAAAAAATGTTAACTTTTGTATAAAAGTTAACATTTTTTAAGTTAGTTAATTTTAAACTTTGTTGTATGTATCGTATCCCCCTCTTTTCTCTTTTTCCCTTTGTTATCTTGACCTCCTCTTCACCCTTTTGCGTAACATTATTTATAGATGTAATATTTGAAACCTAAAGCTTATTAAAATCTTAAAAATAATTGTTCTAAATAAAAAATTTTATATTTAGCTTAACTAAGGTAGCGTACGCTGCTTTAGTTACACCCATAATGAAATTCTTCTATTTTAAAAATTCCTAGAATTCCTATAAAGAGACACTATTTTAAACCAAATCATTAAGTTTCTCGGAACATTAAAAATGATAGACACGGCGTTTTCGTAAATCGTTGAAGCCAAAATCTTTTAGCGAACGGACGTCACTTTGTGGCAAAAAAACTAGAAAAAACAAACTAGAATTAAAATTTTATTAAATTTTTTAGAAAAATTCTTTTGGGATATATTCTAATAAAGACTAAATTTAGTAATTATTATGTCATTTCTTTAAAACTATTTATTAATTACTAATGTGATAAATACAAACTCTTATCCTTGAAATAATATATCTGTACCACTTTTACATCTTTTTGTGCAATTGTACACCCTATTTAAAATTAATCAAAAAATATAAGATAAATGCAAAAGCAATCTCGACCTAAAATAAGAATTTTTGCCACAGGCTGACGTCACTAAGCAAAACTTTTTTGGCTTCTAATCCTTTAATAACTCTTTTTATTATAATTTTTAGGTTGAAATTTTTTGAATCAAATAAATAAATTTTGCGTGATGAATAAGTTTTCCTTGTTAATCGTTTTAAAACTATTAATTGGACTTACCATAAAAAATGAGTGAAAACCTTTAAAACGTTTTAAAACGAAAGTTTATGGCAAAACATAACAACTGTAACTTTTAACTTAACGATATCATTTAAATAGGTTAAAAAAAGTAACGCTTTGTCGCATTGTTTTTATGATCAGTAGCTTACCTCGAAAATATTTACATCACAACAACATAGGTACGAGGTCAGGAAAAATTGTTGATTTCAAACGTTGTTAGGTCGGCAGTTAGGTCTGCATTACCGAATGTCGACCTAAATTGCGAGGGTTGTATATATATATGTATATTTTTAATTTTTTAATACTTTATCTTGTTTTTTTACACGCAGAAACGATCGCTTTATGTTGTTTGTGTATGGTCACACTGGCGCACTAATAAATTGTAGCGATTTTTGTAACTGTTAATTTATGTAAATTATTTATTTTCACGTGTTTTTTAATTTGTATGGGAAGGGGTGGAGTAAATAACACTAAATTAAAATGTTTCTATAAATCAATTTTTTTTTTGTAAAACGTCAATTTGTAATGAATATATTTTTTGATGGTGATATGCATTGTTTCTTAGAATAAAAAAATTGTTTTGTAATTTATTTCGAGTTGAGAGTCAAGTCTTGTTTATGTATTAGTCTAATAGTTTTTTTCAACGCTATTAATAAAGGTAAACCGGATATAATATCTTGCTGAATAATACGCTAAATGTTGCATTTTGCACATTTTCTTTGTTCTTCTTGCTAATTCATTTTATTTTGATAAACAGGAGCTTTTTATACAATGACTCAATACTCACGCAGGGCCTTAGTACTATAATTAGCAATTTATTTTTTAATTTGATTCCTTAATTTCAATTCCAAGAGGATGCGTATTGTTTTGAAGGCGATCAAAAATACATCAACGTGGATATCATCAATTTTTGTCAAAGAATTATCAAATAAATTTGGGGTTCAATTTTACGCTAATGCTAAGGATGTTGAATTAAAGGTAATTAATTTGTGGAATAATTTCCTCAATAATTTATAGAATAAAATTATAAATAAAATATACTTCTTTGTGAGCATTCAAAACATTATGTATCCTTACGAAAATTTATGATTTTGAATTTTAATTATTTTTTAAATATGTCATCCCAATTTATTAAAAAAATAATGGCGTTCACGGCGAAAGGTTTTTTTTGTTAAAACTGCTGGTAGCGTAAGTCTTATATAACATGCTGCGTTTATTCTCGCCCACCCTGGAAGATTAAATGCATTGGGGACAATATATTTATTCTGTGGGTGAGATTGAGTTCATTTATTAGGCTGGGCAGAAAACAATTTTATGCATATTCTACCATTTCAAACGATTGTAAATGTTAATACAATCAGAGAATAAACAGTGGAAAACAAAATTAAATTATAATTTAAAATCTCAATAAATAATTAACTTGTTAAAGTTGCATTAGCTGGTTTGAACTCGGAAAAATTAAATAACAAAAAATTTACCAACAACCATAAAAAAAGTTTTTTAAGAGATGCTTTTTAATTTACGATTCTTTTGAGGTCAAAGTTGTTTTGATGGTGTTAATGGTGCAGCATGTAAATTAATTGGCATATAAGCAATTAAAGATTGTGGGCGAGGTTGAGTGATGAGCAAAATTATGCAAAGTTACCCTAAATTATGTATAAGAATGTATAAAACGGAAATGTTATGATAAACTCCTTTGATGTTTCGAAATATATACTCTTTAAAATTTGTAAAGCCTCTATTGCTCAAGGATCAGATTTTCTAAAAGTAGTAAAAATTACTCATATTTATAAATCAGGTGACCATTGTAACATTGCAAATTATCGTCCTATTTCAGTTCTTCCAGTTTTCTCTAAAAAACTAGAAAGAATACAAAATAACAGTCTACAATTATTTTGTCGATACTAAACTTTTATATAGTAATCAATTTGGCTTCAAAAGAAATTATTCTACTAAACACACCGTTCTCCAATTAATACAACTAAGTAAATTCTCATTATACCCTAGATTATTCATCGATTTGTTTAAAGTTTTTGATACTGTTGATCACCACATTCTATTTAAAAAATTAGAATTCTATGGAATTAAAAATAAATCTCTAAACTGGTTCAAAATCTATCTTTGTAAACGTAAGCAGTTTGTTAATATCCAAGACTCTTCTTTACCTTGATTAATGAATGTAACGTGTGGTGTCCCATAGGAAACCATAGTTGGGCATCTATTATATATATATATATATATATACATATATAAATATATATATATATATATATATATATATATATATATATATATATATATATATATATATATATATATATATATATATATATATATATATATACATATATATACATATATATATATATATATATATATATATATATATATATATATATATATATATATATATATATACATATATATATATATATATATATATATATATATATATATATATATATATATATATATATACATATATATATATATATATATATATATATATATATATATATATAAATGACCTCAACAAAGCCTCATGAAAACATTCCAATCACATGAAAACATAAATACACTTAATAATAATGACACAAGAATTAAATAAAATCTCATATTAGTTTAAGAAAAACAAATTGTCCCTCAATATTGATAAAACAAAATGGACACTCTTTTTAGCTCAGTAAAATTAGCAAAAAAATGTTACCTAGAAAAAATTAGGAGCAAGTTGAAAATTAATGGAAATGTTCAGCATGTACTTGCATGTACTCCTTATTAATTTTGGATAAAATCAGCCAAATTCAGACTGGAGCTTTGTCTGATATCCAAGATGGCGTCCAAAATAATATTTGTAATGTCTCAGCCTGTAGATGATTAAGAAATATGATTCTTGCATCTTGTATTATGATTATATATATATATATATATATATATATATATATATATATATATATATATATATATATATATATATAATAATAATAAAATAGAAGTTACTTTTTATTTCAATCCAAAAATTAATAAAAATACTTATTACATCTCAATAAATAAAGTAATAATTAATAAATAGAGCTATTGACAGCATTAACTATAAGGAGAAAATATATTGATTTACTGGCTTGTAAAATTGTGGCATTGGCTTCTCCTTGAAAAACTTGTTTTGAAAAAAAAAAACTATTACAATGCAATTGTTGAAAACACGCATTATTGATTAAAAAACATAAATTAATTTTCAATTCAAAGTTATCAGTAAAAACAAATATTCAATTTATATTATGTATTATAATTATTCCATCAATACATATATATAATATAGATATATGTATCGATATAGATCTGATATAGATATATTTTTACATTTCAAGTTTTTGAATTTTTATTTCATGAAAAAGAAACATTAGTTCAAATATTTTTTTCTTTATTTTGTAGTTGAGTTTTTAAAAAAAATGATATTTTGAAAAAAAGTACATCATCTTTAATGAAAAAGCATAGTAAAAGAATAATCAATTGATATTAGAGAAATCTGTTTAAACATCTACGTTTATAAACTATTAATAACTTGATTTGTTAAAAGCTTATTTCTTCGCGGTATTAAAACAATAGTTTAGTTTTGTCAGTACAAAACCATTAGAGTTATAAAACTGAATGCTTTCGATTAAATGTTAAGATAAGGCATAGAAAGTGCACCTGGCGTATATTTACCAATAAATGAGAAAGGTTTAATAACTTAATTTAAAAAACCAATCAACACAAAAATGACGCATTTATTTTCAACATTATAAATAACTAATAAATACATTGATTGCAAAATGCCTTTTAATAAAGAAGGCACTAAAAGTTATTCATTAAAAAGTAATAAAAAAAAATTAAAAATTGACTATAAATAAAAACTTATAAACAAGACCGGCGCGAAGGATGAGGGGTGGGGGGTGGGGTGGGGGGATGTGGGTGAGACCCCCACATCATTGAAGTTTTTGTTCATTTAATCGGCAAATATATATATATATATATATATATATATATATATATATATATATATATATATATATATATATATATATATATATATATATATATATGTATATATATATATATATATATATATATATATATATATATATATATATATATATATATATATATATATATATATATATATATATATATACACTTACGTTTTTTAATACATATAGAATGTTGTGTGTGTCAGCTCATATTCATTTGAAATTTGAAATTATTTGTTATATTATTAATGTAGAAGATTTAATGTAGCAATTTTTAACTGTTTAATGCGTGAAGTTTGTTCTCTGATGAACTCTACGTTTCTAAACTGAAATCTAAATTAAGTTAATTTATAAATAATCATATTAGTTACAATTGTGAAAAACTTATTCGTGTTTCTCAGTGACACTAAAGAAACTTTTCTCTTTTAACTTATTATATTTCTCACCAACTGACTGTGAATCTGAAACAAATTATAACGTAAACTATATTAGGGTAAACTGGGGTAAAGTAAACTATTTTTTTAATCTAAAAAGTTATCAGGTTTTAAAAACGTTTTGTTAAGTAATTCAGCATTATTTTTGCTTAATACATTTTGCTTAAAACATTTTAAAATTTTTAAATAAAAAAATTAATAAAATATAGCCTTTGTTTTGATGTAATAGCCATTTTAAAAAGCGAGTTTGGCGGAAGTTTTACTATTACAATTTCAAACTTTGTGATAGGTTTTAGTAAATTCATGATTTGTTGTTATTAATGCAGTTATATAATTCATATTCATTTTAAAGATAATATAATGCTGCTTAAAAAAAATTTTAGTTTTTATCATAATATAAAAAAGCTAATCTTTTAGTTTGTAAATCAATTTAGTTCACTTTACCCCTTATTTTTCTGCCTATTGGGGGTAAAGTGAACTAATCTTTTTGTTATGTTTTTTCATCAAATATTTTTAGTAGAACTGATTATATACATCGTAATTACTTAACTAAATTGTTTACTCTTAGAATAAGTATTTTCTTTTTTTTTTTAATATACTTAAAATTATTTTCAGAAATATAATATATTGAAATAATGCCAAGAAACTAGATATATATACGCACCTAATTTGTTGCAAAATGTCATTTCGAAAGTTAAAAATAAAGAAATGTCTTCGTATGCTGCATCAAAAGAATATGGTGTTCCAAGAAGTACAATTGCAAGACATCTTCTAGGCATAAAATGCTCAAAAGTTGGTGATGGGCGACCAAACTGATTATCTGCTGATGCTGAAAAAGATCTTGTTTCACTTTTATCTTCATTTTCTGATTTTGGATTTAGATTAGATAAAAAACAATTTATGAAACGTATATTGAAAATTTATAAACGTATGTTCAAACGTATATTGAAATAAACGGGTTTCAGAAAAAATTTGTGAATGGTGTTGCTGGTGATCACTGGTTTTGTAATTTTTTAAATCGTTGGCAGAAAGAAATATCTATAAAAACTCCAGAGCTTTTGACATTAACAAGAGCCTTAGCTTGTGACAAAACTGTAATTGATGCTTGGTTT